CCGGGTTGATAATATAACTTACCTGTTACTGCATTCCCGGTCTGCGATTACACTTGGTCGCAGATTGGTGTTGTGTTTTGGCGTGTCTATAACATGTCCACGAAACTTAGCATCTCGTGATATGTTGTAGAATCCACCAACAGGTCTATTCGGGGCATCAGGTAGGCATCCGTTGGACATGCTCTATTGAGGCTCGTATAATCCACGCACATTCTCCAATCTCCCGATGGTTTTGGCACAAAGACCACATTTGATAACCAAGTAACATAAGAAGTTTCTTCGACCAAGTTGGCACCCATGAGCTTATCCACTTCGACCCTAAGTGCCGCCTCCTTCTCTGGCGATAGGTTCCTTCGCTTTTGCTGCACGGGGTGCCTGCCTTCCTCGACCGCCAACCTGTGAACGGCCGTTTCGGGTGTGACGCCTGGCATTTCCAGTGCACTCCACGCGAAAAGCTCTGTGAACTCTTTCAGAAGGGCGATGAGGTGCTCCTTCATTTCATCGGGCGTCTCTACAGATATTCTCACCTGCCTTTCCAGGTGTCCTTCATCTAGCGCCACCAAGAGCTCTTCGTCGGCAGCCTCGGCTCGAGGTGCCTCTTCCACCACGACTTCAATCACATTGACTCTCGCATCGGTGTGTCTTCGCTTCCGTCCTGCTTCCTTTGCATAACGCGGGGCGCCTCGTCCCCGGGCTACGCCTACCCCTTGCGGGGCAATGAATTTTAAGTTTTGGTGACAAATGGAGGCCACCCCATTGAATAAGGCTAGGAGGGGTCTTCCTAGGATGGCATTGTATGGCGAAGGGCAGTCCACTATTCCGAAGTCGATGGCGCGCGTCACCCTTTTCTCCCCGTCCCCCAGGGTGACCGGCAGGCACACTCGCCCTCTTACTCTGGCGGGCGCCCCAGAAAAACCGACTAGCACTGACTCCGACGGTCTGATCAACTCTGGCGATAATTGCATGCGAACTACCGTATCTTTGAACAATACGTCCATGGAACTCCCTGTATCGACAAGCATCCTTCTCACCTTGCATCCCGCTACCACTCCTTGTATCTCCAAGGCGTCCATGGACGGTAGCATGCATGCTTCTTCTGACGCCTTATTGAAGCTGATATCGATCGCCTCCTGCACGTCTGCCGATGCCGCTCTCAGCCGGCGGTTGGCCTCTATTTTCTCCCTCAAGTCCATCGTTCCCGAAATGGCTTCGATGGTTAGGCGTACGCGGTCGGGCGCCTTTTTTGGTCGAGGTCGTATGGTCGGGGTGACAGCTCCTCCTTCCCTTTCTCCACGCCGGCCACGCACGCCCGATTCACTCTCTCCTCAGGCCTCTTGACGAAGTCGTTAAGAATACCTCTGTCGGCCAGGCCTTGCAGCTCGGTCTTCAGCTGATAACAGTCGGCTGTATTGTGCCCCACTTCCCGGTGAAAGTCACAATATCGATCCAGGTTCCATTCGTTGGGCTGCCCCCTCATGGGGCCCGGCCATCTGATGTGATACCCCTTCTCCTTGACGTGCTGGAGTATGTTCTTCAGAGTGTCGTTATACTCAGCAAAGTGTCCCGCCCCCTGGGCGTCGGGCGCCCCAAATCGACTCTCATTGGCGTGGGATGGCTCATAGGCGTGTAACCTGAACCGCTCGGGGGGTGCAGCCTCCGTGTCATCTCAACTTCTTCCCCTATTGTCTTCCGTTTGTCTGCTCTTCTGGCTGCCAATGTTTCTTCGAGCATGATCACCTTTTGTACTCTGTGATCCAGATTTTCCGTGGATACCACGTCTCTTTTTGCAAGCGACCTACACAACTCCTCGCTGGTGGTGCACTCATTCAGGCATACTCCCAACACTGACGGCTGAGCGTCTTTCAATACCAGGGCCACAGACAGCCACCTCTCATAAAATTCCCTCAGCGCCTCTCCCTCTCTTTGTTTGACTTTGAATAGGGAGCCGATGGTCAGGGAGCAACGCTTCCTGCTGGCAAACTTTGTCAGTAACATCGCCGCAAACTGCTCAAAGCAATCAATGCGCCCCTCTTCGATCTGGTGGTACCGTTCGAGGATCACGCACGCGAAAGTTGATGGAAACACCTCTCATAGGGTGGCGTCTGTGCTGTTGTATAGTTTCATTTTGGTGAAGTACCCGTTAAGGTGGTCCTCGGGATCCGCGGTCCCGTCGTAGGTGGGGAGCGGGGGAATGTTGGTTCCTGCAGGCTCCGTCAGTATGTTACGCGCTAGGGGCTGCCTTACGGGGCAGTGGCGTGACAGGCGCCCCAGAATTCCTCCGTTCCACCCACACTCGTCTGGCCCTCCGTGATCACGTGGGCGCCACAAACTTGGGCGCCTCGGACACCCTGACTCACTTTCCGTCTCCGCCACTCGTTCCCTCTTCTTTGTTGGGCTGGGCGTCATCCCCTCGCCCCTTTTCAAGGCGTCCACTTCTCGTCGAAGCGCCTCGATCGCCTCGTCCTGATCCTCGATGATCATGAACAACTCCTTTTTCGTGACCGAGGCGCCTTCCGACCCCCGAAACATGCCATCAGTTTCCTCGCCTCCATCCGTCTCGGGCGTCAGCCCTCTCAACCGCCCCGATTGTTCCTCCGTAATTTCCTCTCTTTCTTCATTCATCAGCGCCTCCTCACTCATGACTCCCGGTTATATTCCCCTTCCTGGCGCGCCAATTGTTTGAGCCAAGACGCCTCGCTGGAACTCTCGCGATTCCCTTCTGACTAGCGCCTGCCTACACACACGAACACGGAGGGGGTGCTTGGGCCCGTTAATCCTCCGACGCTCAAGTTAGTCTCTTAGAGAGAGAAGTGTCTCAAGGTAAGAGCTTTAGTGAGAGAATCCAACCTGTGTAAATGCTACCAACTGCCCCTATTTATACTCACCGAGTTCGAGGTTGATCTCCTCCACGTCACTGTCTCCATTTAATGCCTTGTACTATCCTTGTCAGATATCCCAACTGCCTTGTCAGGCTTCTGGCACGTGACAGGCGCCCACAGACGATGGACCACTTGACAGCCTGGCCTCCCTTGACAGTCTGACTCCCTTTGCCTTCTAGTGTTTTGTCTTCATGCGCCCCTCACCTTGCTTGGGCCCATAATTGCTTTACACTTTCACTTACGGGCATTGCCCCCCAATTCTGTTGCTTGGAAGCCCAAACTACCGCTCATTGGGCCTCGCTCGTAGTACCCCCAACAGGTACCATCCACTTTGACGCTGGATGGTTACCATGAGATGGTGACCAAGTACTAAATGGTCACCTCACCCCAACTATTACCGACCAACGTACGGGCCAACCAGACAATCCTCTAAGTTTTCAAAACCACCTAAGTGGTATTTTAATGGAAAAATATTTTGGTGTAAACACCAACAACACTTTGTTAGAGGCAAATCATTCAGTCTTGTAAGCTACCAAATCGATTAAAGCTCTCGCAGTGCCATGGTTATCACCTCATCTAGCTCCACCACTTGCAAGTCGCCTATAAGTTTCCTTGTTCTTCTCTTTAGCTAGCTTGCTTTTGATGCAGCCTCCGAGCTTCCTCTTTCAAGATTACATGACCGTCGAAATTCAGTGTCGTCATCGACATTTCAGATCCCTCCTATTAGTCTCATCCTTTGATTTTGGCCTATTCTCCTTTACTTTAAATGTATAAGCTATATTTTTAAGAGCTTTTGAGCTTACTCGAGTAACGACTTTAGTCTTATCAGAACCAACAATAATTGTATCATCAAGCAGTTGTCAAGAACGAGTTGATAACAACTCGAGTTATTGGAATCAATTTGTTCTTGACATGGTATTAGAGCTTTATGTGACCGAAAAACATCAACGAGAACTTTTGGTTCTTAGGATTTTCTACTGGTTTAACAAGTTCTGGAACTCGAGACCAATTTTGGTCCCAGGAAATTTTGTCAAATATGCGACCAACTCAGGAGTTTCAGACTTGACTAATCAAGGAGCAACCTCATCATATGCTGCACTAATCAGCTTACTAGGTTTTAAGGGACTGGTAGCAGCTTCATGTGCTCTAAGAATGGTCTCATAAGCTTTACTCTGGAAAGAATTGACATCGATCAAAAAAGACCTAACACGCACTAGCAAGATCACAGTACAACAAATCCAACATCACATACGATCATGCTTGCAGAATCACAGTACAACAACTCATCATTACTTGACCATCGACCAGATCTAGAGGTGGCAAATGGATTGGATCCATGGATTGGTGGATTAGGTTGGGGGATCCATGAAACATATGGATTGGATCCAATGGATTGGATCATATGGATTGGTAGATTGATCCATGAATCCAAATGACATCCAAGTCTTGGACCAATATGTAAAATTTGTAAAATTTAGATACTAAAATGTCATAATAAAATTTAGGTACCAAATTGTAATTTTCCAATAATATTTTTCTTACAACCAAAATGTAAAATATAAAAAATATAGATACTAAACCATAATTTATTATTTGGATCCATAGATCAATGGATGAATCCACCAATCCAATTGGATTTGGATCAAAATTTAAGTAGATGGATTGAATTGAATGAGTGGATTATATTAAAAGTTGCCACCCTTCTAATCGAATCATTGATAACTAGCCGGACGTGTAATATTCAAATAGAGCACCAACTAGAGAAAGATGAGATTGATAACGAGCCGGACGTGTAATATTCAAGTAGAGCACCAACTAGGGAAAGATGGTTTAGACACACATCTCTCGTGTGCCAATACACCCCCACCAACTAGGCTGGACATCTCTCTCTACTACTTTTATGTCTTATCTTTGAGGTAGTAAAACAAAGGGTTAATATTTTCGTATGGCCTGAACTTTGACCAAAATAAATATCCCGACCAATCTTTTCGATCTATAACATCTTGGCCCGAACTATACACCAAAATAAACAATTTGGATGGTCAAAGGCGTTGACCGTTAGTTCGGACCAAATTGTTTATTTTGGTGTATAGTTCGGGCCAGGATGTTATAGATCGAAAAGATTGGTCAGGATGTTTATTTTGGTCAAAGTTCAGGCTATATGAAAATATTAACCCTAAAACAAAGAGGTGGTCAAACGATATGGATATATATAATTTTATATATTATATTTATATCACAGCTTGATTGACAGAGAGGCAATTGAATACAACAACGATGTCTGAAAGAATATATACTCAAAACTCTTAGCATTTTACATTAACGCAATCCACCGCCGCCACCAATCCAGCTCGTCACCCAACAAGCTCTCAGATAAGAGAACTTCAAAAACTGTCACTTCTGTGCTCCCCAACACGCTGGTTTGGTGTTTCCAGTAGAAAAACCAATCCACAAAATGGCGAACCAAAGGCAGCTAGCTAGCTACCTATTCTCTCACTATTTCAGCTGGTTTTGATCTTCCTTCTTCCTGGTGCTTTCAGCTCAAGTGGTGTAACACACGTCAACACATCCAGTCAGAAATTAATACACCTCTGTTGCCAAACGAGTCGGAAGAAGTCATTTCGATCTACTCGGTTGTCCATAATGGTCATGTTTAGGAGGCAGAAGTCCTAGGAAGCTGCCGCCGCCATGCACTGGCTGTTCTTGAATGGCGTCGTCCTCTGCTGCCTCGTCCTCTGGGGAAAATACCAGATGATTCAATTAACCAATGTGATAGGGAAAAGAAACGCTGAGAGAGTCGCCATCACTATCTTTGCTTTATTGGCCCGCAGGCAAGGTAGAAAGAAAGTTCACATCGCAGGCAGTGGGAGATGGGTACCACCCACCCAACAGTAGCTGCCAGTTAACACAAAGCTATCCAGTGGCAGATTGCAGGTTTTCATAACGAAATGAGTTCAACAGAATTAACTTACCGAAAAGGGACTTGATCGAGGGTCTCTTCGACTTTGTGCTCTTTTTCTTCAGTTCAGCTGTCCATTGAAATGTGCAAAAACATCATTACTAGGGTGGAAGACAAACTCCATAAGGACCATCTCAGCCATTTCCAGTCAAGGCCATGGTTTGGTTGGTTCATATAATTTTTACCCTCCACAATGGTAAGTAATAAAATCTCATCTAAACATATATTTTTTTCCTCCAACTATAAGTAAATCCATTTCATAATCAAGGAAATATTACTGTCCCATCAACTATATTTTCAGAGGAAGGACAGGGCTGTACTGACTATTAAATGCCCACAAGAAAACATTCCCTCTGACATCGGAATATTACTCAAGAACATTGTCCTGCCCGCCATGGTCTATGTCTACTACAAGCTCCCCCACTAAGCCAGCGGTACTACAATCCAATCCAGCTGTATCAGTCCACATCCACGACCCAAAACAATTATGAAGTATAACGTGCAATGCTCAAACTAGCACGTCGGATTTTAATGCTTGAAACTGGTTAGAGGCATGCATATATTCTGTCAACTGTAAACTTATTGAGCTGACAGACACGTGGGAATAATATTTTATGCAATATCAATACAAGAACATGACAAAATATTACCTATCCCAGGCAATTGATGGTCATTCACGATTTCGAAGTTCTTGTATGTGTAACCCACGAAATTTATATCCTTGGATGATAGCATCTGTATATGATAACATTGCAACATTTCAGCAACCTCGACACACCAAAATAAATTATATAGTGAAGGATCTCAAAACCTTCAGTTTCCACCGATTCATATGATCAAATAAGTATTGCCAAAGGTAAAATTATAATTGCTCCATGTACTTCAGGGGAACATAGAGGAAGATGTCAAAATGATATGCTTTTGATGCAAGAAAGGGATTTTACCCCCCATAAATAAAATACAACTTAGAGCGCTCACCTTTCTCCACGGTCCAGATTTGTTTGGGGTATGCATTTGGCTGTCATCCTACACCAAGAATTATGAAAATCAGAAGAAAAAGAACATGCTTCTAAAACAGGTCTTCTAGTTTGCACAATAGATAATCTACCTCATCAAACTTCTCAAAATTTTGAGTGTCCAACTCATCGTTGACCTCAGGAATAAATGCAGCTTTAATCTGATACAATTTCTCCCATTCAACGCCTTCAAACCAAGGGTGTGCCTGAAAAGAATAGGTCAAACCACTTACTTATATATCCCTTTTGAATCCTCAACTACATTTAATCAACATTTTAAGAATAAGACACACCGCACAACACCTTTATTTCGTGCGCACCCTTAGTACCAAGCCTCAGTTCCACGTTGCATAACAGTCTACAGATCAGATCCTTAGCCTCAGGAGATAGCCTTGCTTCTTCCGGAAATTTTAAATGAGTCTTCCAATTAACGATCTGCAATAGATGAAACTGTGATCAACATTTTTTCAATTTACTGGCATTCAAATAGTTACAGTTTTGGAGGACATTGATGAAGAAGATAAAAACTGCTAGTCATATAGACTGAGTTGGCTCATCTCAAAAAACATAAACAATAAGACTTGAGGTGAGAGTTTACGAAGAACATTTATAACAAAAACAGTTTCAACCAAGAAAAAAAAAAGAGGACTGGATAGCACTGGTAAGTTGCTCAATTGCTACAAGTAAATGCTTGTCGATAAATAGCATCTAACGAGTACCTTCCGACAAGTTGACATTGGCTCATCGGAATAGAATGGTGGGTATCCCACAAGCATCTCATACATGATAGCACCGAGAGACCACCTGGACAAAATATACAAAGTTCAACAACGACCATAAAATCCCAGAATGAGACATTTCACATAATAAATCATTAGACGTAAACAAATATAGTGTACCCACCAGTCACATTCCATTCCATATCCTTTCTTCAGCAAAACCTCAGGAGCAATGTAGTCCGGTGTTCCAACTGTTGAATAAGCCTAAAAAGGGAAGGAAGTTACCACTATATTAGCAAGTCTTAACTGAGCTCAGTTGCTTTTGCTACTAGAGTTTCAGCAAGAAGATGAAACAAGAATTTGAACAGAAAACCCTAAAGAAATGTGCTCAAATCAACAAAGATTCTTGCCAGAAAATCAACTTGAAGAAACTCACGTACAGCTTTGGACTTCACCAAGAAGTTACAATGCGAACGAGAATTACAGATTCCAGAAGGGTCTCACTATTTATTTTAGAAAGGTCTTAGGCTATGCAACATGAGCTTGTTATAACAACAAACACAATAGGTTGAACTTACAAGCATCCTCCTGTTCCTCTGCCAGTGCTGCAATTGCTCCTGTTGTGTGCGTCTTGGTACTGCAGGTCGTCCATCACTCTGAAGAACCCCACTAAGCTTATTTGATGCTGTAAAATCTTTTTCTTGGAGGTTAGTGCAATCTAGTGGTTTACATAGTCCAAAATCAGAGAGCTTCATGTGACCATGCTTGTCTAGTAGCAAATTGTCAGGCTTGATATCTCTGTGAAGCAGAAGGACAGGTGAGTCTATATATTACCCTCGAAATAAGCAACTAAGCAACCATGATAATAAATTATACTCAAAGCCAACAGACAAATGACTCAATTACCTATGGACGTAGTTATGCTTATGGATAGATTCAATAGCCAGGACAGTTTCACCAACATAAAACCTAGCCTCATCTTCAGTTAGGGTGTCCTTCCGCATAAGCAATGTCATCATATCCCCACCAGGTAAATATTCCATTATAAGATACAGATACTCTTCATCTTGGAATGAGCAATATAGTTTGACAATGCAATTGCTATCCACCTCTGCAAGCAAATTCCTTTCTGCTTTTACATGTTCAACCTGTACAATCATACATTTAAATTTCACATAACCTCATGATAACTGATAAGAGCATCAAGAAGTACGTAAATAGTCACAAACCTGGCCTCTACGCAACATCTCTGATTTCTTAAGCTTCTTCATTGCATATACATGTCCTGTTGACTTCTCTTTACAGATTCTAACCTGAAATATATAGATATAAACACAAAGAAGTAAATACAAGCAAACAAGTAAGATAATTATAGCATCATAAACACAAGCTCCATGACAGACAGAAGAAGCCTCAAACTGAATGTTGACGTGCTCATGTATCCTACTAGGGCAAATATAACATATGGACATATTTATGAACACTTCATGCAGGCAAACCTTGGAGAAAGAGACAAACCCTTTATAGAGTGAAAAAGAAGATCAGGTAGTACTAGATAAGGGGACAACATTATGAAGCTTAGATATTTTATTCAGCTATGCATCTCCTAAAAGAAAAGGCATACCTCCCCAAATGCACCCTTGCCTATCATTGTCAATGGCTCAAAATCATCAGCTCCCATTTTATGTCTAAGAATCCGCATGAACTCTGTTTCCTTTTTCTCTAAATATTTTATTAAGTTGCTTTGCTCTTCCTCAGTGACCTCCGCATCGGCCAATTTCTTCTCAAGCATATCTCGTCTGCAAGACATTGTATTATCACTCAAATTCAAAGACCACCAAAGCTCTTGCTGTCCGCAATTTCAGACAAAATGTCAAATTTACCAGAATCTCAACCCTAATAAAGATAGACAAGAAGAAAGCCAAGAGATACTCGAAAGAGAAACTATAAATATGAACAGAGAAGTAATTCTCTATGACCATATCCGCGAGTAAATCATACCGCTCTCTTCTTTCTTGCAGGTCTTTCATCTGCTTCTTATAATGATTTTCAATATACTGCTTTGCAGCTGCTACCCTTTGTTTGGTTACATTTGACGGCAATTCTTCACTACTTGGTGCTCTAGTCCCCTCTTTTCCATTGCTTGAGGCTTCTTTCTTTTTCGAAGGTCTTGCTTTGTCTTTTGACCTCAATCTGCCGAACCAACATCTTGCCGACTCCATATATCTCGATGTATAATTACCAGTACCTCCACAGATTTTTCTAGACGCAAATTTTGATATGTGACGTGATCCAATCAATCTCGCATTCACTTCATGTACTCCTGAAAGGTCATATATTCATCTTAAGTCCCCATTTCCAGGATAAGAAATTACAGTACAACTTAAGAGTATATCCTGCATTGATAAAGCGGCAGATAATTAGAATGAGAGAAATCGTGCATGCCTTCACGATACAAAACTTCTAAGGTACTTGGTCAGATTTCACAACGATAACAAGTGCCCGAGTGGCGCACACCATTGAATCCCTAGGGTTAACATCAGGCATAAGTCCCTGGGCTGGACTTTTATTTTGATCCTGCCTAACAAATTCACGTCATAAAATCAAACCACAAGTTTACTGCTAAACCAGGCAGCTTGACAAGTTAATTACACCAAAAGCACACAGCTCATTTGTCTGAACTGCCACATCAATTCTCTCTGGTGACAAGTCAAAATCAATTATGCTGTGTTCTAAACTCAGCAGATTGAATATCTAGGACACCGAATACCTGTGTGAACTCGATCCTAATCTCTCGATCTTTTTCAGTTATCACTGTAGGCAAGCTCATCACTGACAGCCTTCCACCCCTAACTAACTAGGAAAAGCAAACTGAACGAAGCAAAAGGAATAAATGATCTACAAATAGCAAGCTCGTCTTCGCTCTCGAAAATCCGCAACAGCTGTTCCCCCTCAAAAGATGAGACAGAAAGTCAAAGCCAAAGAAATCCCAGAGAATCCAATAAACAATAGGGAGTGAAAAGGAAAGAAGGTGGGAGAAAAAGCGATCAAATCCAGAATTCTCATCTGATAAGAAAGCGCGTTCCAAAGAGAGCTTTTCATCACTGTAATTTACCACACTTCCATCCACATTTGTCCCGGCTTAACCTAAACACGGAATCCAAATCCGGCAACTCAAAAAGTTTCAGAGGAGACGAGCTCCAGGCCACTTTCCCGGCCAACAGACGCAGCTCAGAACCACAGACTAAACGGGGGAAGCAATCACGAAGTGGAAATGAACAAAGAAAGAAGTGAGGGCAGCGAACAGGAATCCAAGTACTCGGAAAGCAAAAAAGGCAAACCAAATCGGAGAGTTCCAGAAAGTCGCATTCAGAATCAGAACCAGAAGAAGAAGAAGAAGAAGAATAGTACCTGGGGGAGTGAGGGTGGAGGAGGAGGCGGCGGGTGGAGGAGCTAGAGGGAAGAGGGAGGTGGAGAGGCGGGAATTCTGGACGGAGACGGAGGAGAAGAAGAGAATGAGAAGAAGGGGAGGAGTTCATGACTCTGGAGACCACCCAACATTGTTGGTTGCGTTGAAAGTTATGAGAGAGAGAGAGGGCGTTTGGCTTTGTTGCTTTCTTTTGCTTTCTTCTTCTCTCTCTTTCAGTCTTTCTCTTTCTTTCTTTCTTTCTTTCTTTTAACTTTTTATCATTTTTCTTTTTTCCCCCTCTCTTTGGGTTTCTGTTATTTTCACCGTTACTCGGTGTCCGTTTTCCGTTCGTCCATAAAGTGAAAAATGAAAATCCAGAGGTTCCGTTCCCGTCCAGCAACATCAGCGTCCTTCGATGGCGAGACATTTCATCGGCTGGTTTTTAGCAAAACCAAATTTCATTAATATTCATATTGTGTTTATAAAAAAAATATTCATATAATTATGATGGCATATTTATAATCTTGTGACAAATGCAATTTTATATTAAAACTAAAATGGTCGGGTTGTAATTTTTTCTCCATAATTAAGCACATATACATACAACTGTAAGTGAATTGTATTGACATAAATACGGTGAATTTAATGTAAATTGAATTGCATAAATTGTTGAGGTCTATAAGAACAACATATGCACTTGATTTGATGCAAATGCTTTTATTAATTTGTTTTTCCTGTATTATAATACGGGTCTATGGTCGATTGAATTATTAGATGCTCATCAGTGTTGCGGCACTTGGCTAGATATATGATGATAAGTAAGAGCGTAAGAGAGATAATAATATTAAGACATTGATTAAGTGGAGAAACTGTGTTAAATTAGAAACATAATAATAATGTTTATGTTCCTCAATAAATATAGGAGTGACGGAAAGGTTGGGGAACTGAGTTGGACCATTGCCCGTATCTTTTTCACCCATGACAAGACACTGTTAATTGCAGAAATAATGCAAAGGGTTTAAAATTTGATTAAGAAGAAAACAAAAGAGAAGCCTAAGAAAGATGACACAAGGAGAGAAAAACAACGGGGACAAGCAAAAACAGGGGCGAAGCTGCTAAAAGATGATCCGTCGTCGTATCATCCACACCCCCCTCATTGTAGAGGATGTCCTCCTACTAGGACGATTGAAGTTGTGGCACGATGATCGTCCAATAAATTTTAGAAGCTTTGTTCAAGATTGAGATTCGATTCAAATTGTTTTGAAACAGATTCGAGCTATGCTGGTTTTTACAGTAAAAGGATAACAAATGAAACAGTAAAACATGTCGATCGTTAGAGAAGATGCAATTTTATTGGACGATTGACGACTAATTAGTACGTGACAGGTGCACTCCTGGATGTTTTTGCGAGATTGATAAAATGACGAGGTCTGCATAAGTTTGAGGTCGTGCTTCTCCCGGTCCATGTTTGAGTCACTTAGAGGAAGAAACACCAATGTTTCCTCATGTTAGAGTATATGATAATGAAAATGATCATACCAATGTTATGTAAAATCTAGCAATGTTATAATTATTTATCTGAATTGCTATTCGTCGCCCTAAAATTTGAATTGTATCGCCCTAATTCGTACCAAAATGACACATACACCCCTATCCTCATTTCAAACTTAAACCCTAGAAACAAACAATCCCTATCCAAGCCTACCCAAAACCCTCCGCCGGCATACCCACCTCCCTCACACCGCCTAACCCCAGTCCCTCCCTCCGCCGCCTAACCCACCTCCCTCACAATGATAGATATTCATTTTTAGTCTAGTCTCTAGGATCTTAGATGGTGATTCCCCGATTCAGCCCAGAACCCTCCCGACGTTGGATGGAGGACGAAGAAAGAAGAAGGAGGTCGAAGCCGGTGCCGGTGCCGCCGTCGATTCGCTCCCCTGCTCGCTGTCAACCAGGAGGAGGCCGAAGAAGGAAGAGGGGAGGTCTGAGTCGCTGCTACTCCCATCGACCCCTGCGGAGAAGAAGGAAAGGAGATCGACAACCATTGACCCGACGTGTCCAGAATTTTTTTTTCTTGTGTAATTTTGGCCGGGCAGATTGAAAACCCGCCGCCGGCGAGATTGGGATTTAATTGTTTGAAAAACAAATAAATAAATTAAGGACATTAAAGTAAATTTATTTTAGTTAGGGCGACGAATAAAGAATTTTAGGGCGATGAATAGCAATGCCCTTATTTATTGGCTAAATTACACATTTGGTCACTCAAATTATACAAATCTTTCACGTTTGCCACCCAAATTACTTTTCTTTCTTATTCGCCACTAACTTTACAAATCGTTTCACCATTAGTCACCGGCCGTTACACTCCGTTAAATTTGTCCTACGTGACAGTCAACTATAAAGTTTGACCGTTAACTAAATGACGTGGAAATTAAAAAAATAAAATAATAAAATTTATTTTTCCACCTAATCATTCCACTTATTGTGTCTATATGATTTATCATATTAATTATTTAATAAAAATTAATTAATTACAAAAAATTAATTATCCAAAATTTCCCGAGGGATTGCTACTCTCCCTCTTCCTCTAACCGGAGTAGCAGCACCGCCTCCTCTGCTCTACCCCGCAGCTCTAGAGTCTTAGTTGATTCTCCCGCCGATTACAAGGGAAGGTTAACGTTTTGAATGCATCAAATTCATTGCTACCAAGAGCTGGAAAGAATGTTACAGGGGTTTGATAAAAGTAAAACTTTCTTGTGATTGCTTCATTCTCGGGGCAAAAAAGAGAATCTGATGGGGTTTCTTTCTTACCTAACAATTCATTATTTTCCTACCGATGGCAACAACCATACCAATAATCCCTACCTATCTTTACTCTTTCACTAAACAAGTAACCGACAAAAAACAAGGATACGAGCCTGCCTATTGGACAATAGCTATTCTGTGGCTTGAACAAGCAAAGGTTTCTCTGGGTTGCATTTGTTATCAGTCTCCCTTATTTCCAGCTTTTGGTGGCAATGAATTTTATCAGTCTCCGAAGTCACCCTTGATGTTCGCTTCCTTAGCTTTGGCCGTAAGTCCTTCGCTCCTTCCCGTTCCTGATGCGACGATGTCGCTGATAGGTCACAGAGGAGAGGGAGGTGGGTTTCTAGGCATGGATCGGCCGTTGGCGATTCAAAGGCGGCGCCATTTCGGAGGTTCGGAGCGCTCACGTTGGGGTTAGAGAGGGTTCGCCTCCGGATCTCCCTCTTGTTTTTATTTTTCTTTCTTGTTTCCTTTTCATTAGCCCTGTATAGGCGAAAGCTTTGAGCTAGGAGAGAGATGGGGTTTTCCGAATCGGATCAAATAGTACTGCTGCTGCTTCCTGCTCTATTTCTTAGCTCAAACAACATCTTCTGATCCCCTCTCCCTCCCTCTCTCTCCTCTTGTTTCTCAAATCTTTATTCCCCCCTCAATTGGAACGATAGAGAGCTTTACTTCCCATGGGGAAGCGGAAGGAGCGTGAACAAAACTGGGGTTGTAAGCAGCAGCAGAGCAATGTAGAGTCTTTCGTTGGAGATAAACTGATCTCTAGAGAATAGACTCGCCTCCGACTCTCCCTCTTCCCCAAGGGAAAAATTGGACAATTAATTTTTGTAATTAATAAATTTTTATTAAATAATTAATATGATAAACTATATTTACAGAGTAAGTGAAATGATGAGATGGAAAAATAAATAAATTTTTATTTTTTTTAATTTCCACATCATTTAGTTAACGGTCAAACTTTATAGTTGACTGCCACATAGGACAAATTTAACGAAGTGTAACGGCCGGTGACTAATGGTGAAACGATTTGTAAAGTTAATGGCGAATAAGAAAGAAAAGTAATTCGGATGGCAAACATGAAAGATTTGTATAATTTGAGTGATCAAACGTGTAATTTAGCCGTTATTTATTATCTATTCGTTTCCCATATTCTATAGGGATCATTCTCAATATTTTAAGACATAAGTAGGACTTTAACAATTAATATGTACACGAGAATATTATCGACCAATGATTAGTCTTAGTACCAGTCAACAAACATAAACTCATCATCAAACTCATAATCAATCATTCATAAACCATAAGTTCAACCTATATTCTAGGATTGACTTAACTAACAAACCTATGGTAGAGCTCCTAATATTTAGAGGATTTGTGCAGAAAGACCTCCTAGCACACCAATTGGCTACGCCTACTTGTATTGCTTAGCATCCTTCCCTTGCCAAGTGGAAGAGGCAAACTTCATATCATCCAAGCATTATGTGGATTGACCTCATAGGAAGCTTGAAGTTGTGACTCGATCACTCATATCGAGAATAGTTTAATGAATTTTGGAGATAATGTATTAAAATTGAGATATGATCCAAACTTTGAATCACCCATGCATTTACCATAATTCATTAATCTAGCAATAATAATCTACCCCATCATAAAACTTAAGGGACCGTTTGCTTCGTGGATTTGAAAATGAAGGTTTTGATAGAACTTGGGTTTTGAAAACCCATGGATATATGAGAATTTTGGGTTTATTATGGACTTGGAAAACACCATTGTTTGTTTCATATATTTAATCATGGATTTTGCTAATTAGATTTGAGTTTGGAGTTAAATGGACTTTTTATTATTATTTCCAAGTTATATCAAGAAAGGACAAGAGTTATACAAACCACACTACCCAAGAACCGCCTATAAGCGACACCCTACTGAAGACACCCAAAAAAGTCGAAAGACTCTAACTCTAGAAGAGACAATATCAGTGCTTTAAGCGCCACTCTATGGGCAGCACTGTTGGCGGCTTTCGTAACCACCCTAAACTCTATACAAACTGACAAAGAATCTAGTATATGAAGACACTCCCGGAGCACCGGAACTCCAAAGGAATCTACTAGGACACCTTGTCGGATCTGGTTGATGACCAACTCGGAGTCACCTTCCGCTATCACGTGAGTCAAGGATCTTGGGGCGACGATGGTGATAGCATCTCTTACTACTAGGAGCTCTGCCATGCAGGGGTTGATTACTCTCTGGTGATGCATCCCGGCTGCCAGCATTATATGAGAGACGCAGAGATAGTGGCCGAGTTGGCCTAGGGAGGGTAATTGGGTCATTTGATTATTTTTGGGGAGAGAACTATTTAACCTACAGTCTTTGTTATTTCGATTAAGCAAGAATAATATCAGAATTCCTAAAACCCTAATTCCTCTTCTCTTCTTCAAATTCTCATCTTAATTCTCAATTCTCAATCCTAATTCTTTTATCCTCATCCCCAATTCCTATCGATACATAGGTGTTTCTCGCAATTGGTATCAGAGCCTGGCTCGACATGAGTTGATCAAAGCTCTTGAACGGGGACCAGGCAACACAGAATGACGCTCGACTGCTGGAGGTGCTCGCGCGGCTCAAGCGGGTGGCTGAGGACATGCGGGTGGCGGTCGGCAAAGTGAAGGCAATGGCGGAGGGACGTGTTCCTCTGGTCATGACAGTGATCAGGCAGGAGGAGACGCAGGTAGCGGAGGAGGAAGAAGCAAGCGTCGCGGGACAGGAGACCATCCCCGTCGTCACAACAGTGGAGACCACCGGGTCGCCGACGATGTGATTCCGGGCGCAGGTCGTGGAGGAGTGGGCGGTGGCTCTCGTGGACAGCGGGGCCTCTCTCAACTTCGTGGGCGAGGAGTTTGTGCGGCGACTACACCTGTCAAAGTCGACCATCGATCCCTTTGACGTGAAGGTCGCCAATGGCGCACCGCTGAAGTGTGAATGGAAGCTGGAAGGGGTACCCGTAAGGATTCAAGGGCTACAGATTTCTCTCGATTTGTATGTGCTGCCACTACAGGGGTACCCGTACGGTTAACGTATGACCGTACCGGTATGCTCATAACTAGAAGGCTGAGATCGAGTGTCAGGTATAGGAGATGATGACCACATGATTGATTTGGGCGATTTCCTGCCCGTTCTCCTTGCCGGTACGGTTGGTGAAGAAGAAGGATGGTACGTGTAGGTTTTGCATGGAGTATCGGGGCCTTAACACAGTGACAGTGTGTAATCGGTTCCCGATCCCCACAGTGGATGATATGCTAGACGAGTTGAGGGGCGCTCAGTACTTCACCAAACTCGACTTGAGACCCGGGTATCATCAGATACGCATGCACGAGGAGGACATTCCGAAGATGGCTTTCCGAACACATAGTGGCCACCGACGTTTTAGACCGCCATGAACGATACCTTTCGTCCTCTGCTTTGCAGGTTAATACTGGTGTTCTTCGATGATATTCAGGTCTTCAGTAAATATTGAGAAGAACATATACAACAGTTGCAGGAGGTATTGGAGTTATTGCAAGGAAATCAGTTCTATGTAAAGGCATCTAAGTGTGCCTTTGGGGTTCAGTCGGTGGACTATCTGGGACATGTGATATCGGGCGAGGGAGTAAGGGTGGACTTGATGAAGATCCAGTCCATGATGGACTAGCCAGTGCCAAAGTCGGCGATGGAGTTACGAGGCTTCCTCGGTCTCACTAGTTACTATCGGCGGTTCATACAGGGTTACAGTTCGATAGCGGGACAATTGAATGCACTATTGATGAAAGGGGGGTTCAGCTGGAATCCTGAGGCTGAGAGAGCCTTCGGAGAGCTCAAGGACGCCCTATCCACTAACCCGGTCTTGGCCTTGCCGGATTTCTCTCAGCCATTTGACATCGAGGCCGACGCGTCAGGCAGGGGAATCAACATTGTACTGTCGCAGGAGAAGCACCCTATCGCCTTCATGAGCCGCACTCTTCCTCCATCTAAGGAGGCTTGGTAAACATATTAGAAGAAGATGCATGCTATCACGGAAGCGGTCCAGACGTGGCAACCCTACTTGATTGGCCAGAAAATCCGCATCTACACCGACCACCAGAGTCTTAAGCATTTGATGGATCAGCGAGTGTCAACTCTAGAACAACACAAGTGGGTGGTAAAGTTAATGGGGTACGACTACGAGCTAGACTATTGACCAGGACCGATGAACATGGCCGCTATTGCGTTGTCGAGGGTGGAGATGGGCCACAGGTGGCGGCGGTGACAGGGCCAGTGGTGCGGTTCTGGGACGAGGTTAGGAAGGCGGTGGAGACGAGCCCATACCTGAAGCAACAACGAGATGTAGCCCTTAGCATTACACCCGGCGAGTACACGTTTCGACATGGGCTGGTCTACCTCAGGGGGCGAGTGGTTCTGCCGGCGACCACCTCCCTGACGGCGACGATGATGAGGGAATTCTTCGATTCCCCTATTGGAGGTCATCCCGGGCATGAGAGGACCCTGAGAAAGATCTGCAGATGACCAGCGAGGTCAAGGATTACGTGGCATCCTGTGACACGTGCCAGCGGGTCAAGGCGTCCCCGTTACGACCGGCGAGGTTATTGCAGCCGCTGCCCATACCGGAGCGGGTTTGGGAGGATATCGACATGGATTTTATAGTGGGGTTACCACCGTCCGAGTGGGTGCTTCTTAGGTCGCATCCGTATCATCAAACATCTATGTTCAGGAGAGCTTATCAGAAGCTCGTTGCCCGGTATTTCGGGCCGTATTGGGTGATGGAGAGGATCGAGCCGGTAGCGTATCGGCTGCAGCTCCCGGACACTGGCCGGATTCACCCCACATTTCATGTTTCACTCTTATGCATGTATCAGGGAGAAGTGCCGCCCACGACGCCACCGTAGCCACTTGTGAACGAGAATGGTGCATTTTAGCTGGAGCTCGAGGCAGTGCTTGATACGCGTTGGCCACGGCAAGGAAAACGCCTCGTAGCGGAGAGCCTCATTCAGTGGAGACATCTCGGACCGGAGGTGCAACTTGGGATGATACAGAGACCATCCAACAGAACTACCATGCGTTCAACCTTGAGGACAAGATGGGTTCCGAAGGGGAAGGGAGTGTGAGAGACGCGGAGACAGTGGTCGAGTTGGCCTAGGGAGGGTAATTGGGTCATTTGATTATTATTGGGGAGAGAACTATTTAAGCTACAATCTTTGTTATTTCGATTAAGGAAGAATAATATCAAAATTCCTAAAACCCTAATTCCTCTTCCCTTCTTTAAATTCTCATCTCCATTCTCAATTCTCAACCCTAATTCTTTTATCCTCATCTCCAATTCCTATCGATACATCCGTGTTTCTCGCACACTACATGCCCATTTGATCCACAGTTACAAGACCAGAAGAGCATCGAGTCACAAAAAGCTGCATCGAAGTTCATCTTCAAAATTCGTCTGGTGGGGGGTCCCAAGTGGCGGGAAGAGGATTATGGAGGTGCGATATGGGGATGGAGTAGGGGGTGAATATTGGAGACTTCAAGGACTTGCTTGTAGAATTGTCTGGCAAGAGAATGGACATGAGGGTGTAGAATTCAAAACTCACTTTATTTCTAAACTTTTAGATTCTCGAAAGTAAACGGACGCATTGGAGAATGTGGAATGAGGAGATCATGACATGTTGCCACCATACACTAGAATTAACAGTCGGGGCGGAATAAATAAAGTTGTTCAATGCTAGGGGGCATCTGAAGAATAAGTGTTCAATGTTCTCTTGATATCACCATCACACAGTGCATTGATTGAGGCAATTAACTCCACAGGTTTGTAGGGCTACCACTACGGTAAGAATGACCTTGAGGCATTGTCATATGAAGACAAATAAACTTTTGTAGCGACCTAGATCTAGGTTACACCAAACTTGTATGAAAAAAAGGAAATAATACGGGTACATTGGTCATAAACCAAGGACTTATAAGTTCATGATTAATTCCCACCTAAAGAGGTGGGATTTTCAAATCTGTGGAGTCCACGGATTTGGACCCTCAAAGTCTATGGGACCCATGAAATTGTTACCTCTAAAATCTAAAAACATGAAACAAACAAAATATTTTAAATAAAATACGATGATAAATCTAAATCAATCACTAAATTCATCAAGCAACCAAACCCTAAAAAGCTATAGGCAAAAGAATTTTGTTCATAATTTCGTGTATTACGGAGAAGAGGGAGTTGAAACTTTAAAGTTTGGGAGCCACAAGAGTTTTGACTTTTGTTTTGTGTTGTTGTCCGTGACTCCGTGTTTGCCATCTTATGCAAGAAAAAGGTCATCAACAGACAGAAAAGTCCTCTCCTCGCTCTCTTTGTCTTTGTCTCGCCATTTTGCTTTTTGTCACTTTGGGATTCATTTCAATTAAACAAACTTGGAGGGAATGCTCGAACCTCTCCTTAAATTTTGCAAGTACTGGTAGCCGGCTAGTATTGGATGACTGACTCTTGTAAGCAGAGCTGTCAGTTTAGTTTGGTTAACCAAATCATTAAGTATGAAAAATAAAAATAAAAAATCAAATTTGATAAATTATAAAAAATTAAAACAAAAAATGTTAAAGGATTTTACCGGTTATTAGTTAAGTAACCGAAAACTGATAAGACACTTAACAATTTTCATTTGGTTTGGATAAAACAAAAAAGTGAAAAACCAAAATCCAAACTCATACTTTGTAAGTCCAAAATGGAGTGAGAAAAGACAACATGACGCATGAAGATAGAAAAAAGTCTACTACACATAAGTTGGTGACAATACGTGGTGTTGATGGGTATTAACTTATTAGAATGTTACCGATGTCTTTTTGGTTTCCATTTATAAATCGAAACCAAAACCAAAACCATTAAGATGCTAAACGGTATAAACCTAAAAACCAAAATCGTTAAGTTTTTTATCTGTTTGGTTTCGGTTAAAACTGAAAAATCAAATCCAAACTAACAACCCTAACTATAATAGGCGGGCACGACTATTATTCAAAAGAAGTAAACTTATCTACAGACAAATTGAACGAACAAAGATTCAATCAAACGATTTTATCATTGATTTTCAACTTGGAAGTTTCATATTTGAATACCATAGTGACCTTTCCTCCTCGCATGCCCTCTTAAATATTGTGTAACAAAAAGCAAATCGATTTCATCTCGTTAAAATAACAACATAACAAGATTGTTATTATATTAGCTGCAATAAACAAATAAAAGAGCAAGGTGCTGGTGTTGGAGGCCAATTTCCATTAGGAGTAGGACAGGGGGCAAAAGCTTGAAAAGAGGGGACCAGCCCCAATTGAGATATGCAAAATATACAAATACAATGCCATTATGGGCAAAAGGAAGAAGAAGCATAAGCAAAAATAAAAGAGACATTAATTGTGATCACATTATTATTATTATTATTATTATTAGAAGTGATCAACCTCAACTTCAACTTTACCTTTAACTACATGCATCATTATCATTTATCAGAAATGAGATGCAACTGGTAGCCATTTGCTAATCTTATGTCACCCAATTTGTTGGGTTGAAATTGGGAAACAAAGTGGGTGAACAAATGCACCACAAGAATTGAGAACACCCCCAACAACACCATTAGTCCATTATCAGTACCAACCCAAATGATGAACAAAGTTTTTTTTTGCTCAATTAGAGGTGCTGATTTCCCAAATTATGATGAGTTCGAACAATAGAATAGAATTGAGCTGATTTGGACATTGAGTTGAGTGGAAGAACTAGGCATATGATTCCCTTGGAGGTAGATGAGATTTAGAAAATAAAGAAGGGAGAGGTTTCTTATCTCTTCGTGAGATTACCTCACGAAATGAAACTTAACGCTGAAATTATGTCAGATCCGCCTCTGATTCTGTAAGAATCTTGTCTGACCAGTCTCCTTAGAATTCATTTATAAAACTAGTCGTCCGGTCTGTATTTCCTTCTTAACCTTGTTTGGTCCTCTAGGATTGGGTTGGTTGGGTAGGCTCAAATCAATCAACATATTGTTTTTTAAAATCATATTTTGTAAGCCAAATTTATCTTTCTTATAATTTATTACCTAAACTTTGTTTTTTTACAAACAAGTCCATAAATTTTGGTATTTAAATGAGATTTTAGTACCTTTATATTTTTTACCTTGCATTAGAGTACCTAAACTTTTAAAACTTTACAAACAGGTCCAATATGTTGGTACAAAGAAATTCAAATCACTAGTTGTTGCTATGAGTCATAGGGCCAAAAAGTAACCCGATACTAAGTTGACCCAAACTACCTGACCCTTACAGGGTAAAAAAATGACCCATCGTAAGCTAATCATCTATACAAACTGACCCGACCCAACCCTCAAGGTCGAGACGGATCGGATTAGTGGATATATAGGAGCAAACCTACAGCCCTAACGAAACCTATATATTCTCACACAAATCTATTAATTGTTTACGTATATGTAATTATATTCACGTACATAAAGTATTATTTCACCCAATCTCAATAATAAGATTGATCAAATAATCGATTATTTCATACAATCTTATAAAGTCAATCAACCAATCATGTACTATTGTGCCAAGGCATTGTTGGAAATGGTCAACCTTTTCTTGAGAGAAAATGAACACTGGAGTGTCGTACGAATCAAACTTTATAAGAGGAACAACAAATAGCTCAAGTTTGGTTTCATAAGTGGTTCCCGGAGTCAAATGCAAAGGGACATTAGCATGTGCCAAGGCGGTTTGGTTGTTTTGTGTTTTATTTGCTTGGCCTTTCTTTCCCTTTCTTTCATCCACTTTACAACCCCACTCTCCACTCCACAGCTGCGTTTAGAAAACAACCATTCCCACAAACCGCGTCTGCAATGCAATGCAAAGGTGCAACTTAGTTATTAGCCTCCCACTGGCACCAGAAGGAAATGAGCTGGTTACAAGGAAGAGTACTAAAGGTTTTCAACAACTATTCTTAGCTTTCATTAACGCAAACAGCAAAAAAGAACCAATCTTTGAAGAATAGTAGTGCCCCGATTGATGATGGCTTACAGTTCCATGCTATCAAATTAAAGAATCATTACAAGGAGAAAAAAGAAAAGGGATATGGTGGGTGGAACTTCATTCCCAGCTACAAAATGTGTAAACTATCTTGCTAGTCACAGCACTGTGGCCTTCTTCCTTCCTTCCTTACTCCCCTTGTGCTGGAGCCTTCGCTCGAAAAATATATGCCTCGTCAGAGTTACTAAGAAGGGCTTGTGTCTCGCGCTACTACTAGGGGTGGGCAATGGGACGGGGCGGGATACCCGTCCCGTTTGAAACGGGTACCCAATCCCATTTGAAGAGCAAACTCCATCCCATGTCCCAAACCCGTACGGGACGGATAACGGGTACCCAAATTACCTGTATATACCTGTCCAACTATATCGCATGTTTATTGTTGCGGGGATCACAATTCAAACAGAAACATAAGACACACATGATAACATCTAAATCACAAGATATAAGCAAGTAAACTGCCAGTGAAAACTAATAAACTATCATCAAATTCACTCAAAATTATATAAAGATCAAAGAAAGGCATTTTGGGAGAAGGGAGCAGTAATATTGGTTGCTAAAGGTGGATGGGTTAAGTATTAAAACTGCCCTCAACTGCTTAATACAAACAACTATCGTCCCCCACAAGAGGGGAAACCTTGCCTGGAATCCTATTCTGCATATTCTCAAGTTTCAGGACTCGACATTTTCTCATTCGGTTGTAACAATTTATTTTCCTACTGGTATGATATTGTGGAAGAGATTCATGATCTGCTTTAAGTATCTACATGATCATGTTTATGAGTCTAGTATTGAATAAGGAATTTTTGCTAATGGGTATTACGGGTACACGTACTACTCAAACGGGTATTAACGGGTAACCCGCGGGTACCCAATATAGAAATCATCGATCCCAAGTCCCATCCCGTATAAAAAATTACGGGTATTTGGGTACCCGTAACCCTCAAAAAATGGGACGGGTATTGGTATACCCAAATACCCGTTTCGGCGTTTCCCGTTGCCCACCCCTAGCTACTACTCTGTGTCTCTAAGGCTCTCACTGGTCAGCCTTAACTTCTTTTGGCCGATTAAGACACCATCTTCACCATCATGGTCCTGTTTAGTGCTCGAGGAGTCAACTACCTCCCAGTGCAACGCCACCAGATGCTTCTTCACGTAATCTATCACCACTTGCTTGTCACGTATGATAATGAAACCACTGGGCCTTATCACACGATCCATCTCCAACAGAAGATCTTCTACACTGCATCCCTTCTTCTCAACATCAGAGAACACGGTCTAAGCGTGAAGCAAATCATATGTCCGAGGATATGTCGAGAAGGATTCACACCTGTCAAATGGATATGTTGGAAAGCATTCAGCGGGGTGCATTTGTAAATCACGCGAATCCCCATAGGCTATAAGTGTGTTTGTAAATCACTGTTGTTAATCTCAATTGCATGCTATTTAATTTAAAGTGCAGACAAATACATCTAAAGTGTCGACGAAAAACAAAGCAATTGCATGTATCACCCTCCCAACCAACCAAACGACCTAATGGATAAAAGAAATAATAAGCATAGAGAAAGAAGAATGCCCTGGAATTTAAGTTGAATATTACTTACCAGCTGTGGATGGTGCCTATCAGCCCCCTGTCGTATACCACCTTCAATGTATTTGGTCCATCTTCTGGGACAACGTTCATAACCCATACATCCTTGTACTTAAAAAGTGCAGCCAATGCAGTAAAAAAACGCGAATCTACCAAGAAGTGGTTGGGTGACCTAACAGCGTAAAACCGTAAGCTTTTAAGTTTTAAAACGTAGATTTTGACTACATTTGTAAGGGAAAATCACGATTCTACGTAGAAGCATTTTGGTTAGGGATGGCAATGGGTCGGGTTGGGTCGGGTTTTGCCAAACCCAAACCCAAACCCATGGGTTTATCCGTGAAAAAAACCCGGGGTAAAACCCACTGGGTTTGAAAAACTCAAACCCAACCCACCCCGCTGGGTATCCGCGGGTTCATGGGTACCCACGGGTTTTTGTCGTAAAAAATTTACAATAACATGTTCCTATCAAAATTAAAGTCAAATATCAATCTCTCAATACAAATTATCCATATTTAAAACACTATTCTAGAAAATTCAAGCAAATCACAAATTAACTATACAAATTGTTCAACGCAATCTAGAAAACTCAAGAAAATTGAAGTAAATCATAAATTATCCATAAATAACATATTAATTGAAGGCTTCTTCCTTTCAATTAAGTTTCTTCACTCTCCACTCGATAACACAAACTTCATTCTACACAATTAGAAAGAAAAAAATTAGACATGTCTCCACAAACATAAATAAGATTAGTTGTTTAAAATATTAAATATACCGAGAAAATTAATTATATGTGTGGGCGGGTACCCACGGGTCGGGTTTACCTAAACCCAAACCCAACCCAACCCGGTGAATAGTGAACGGGTTTAAACCCAAACCCAACCCAAAACCCGTCAACACGGATTTTACCCGCGTTGACCGGGTTGGGTCGGGTGGGTACCCGTGGGTTCAGTTTTGGTTGCCATCCCTAATTTTGGTAACCCAAAAAGGTAAAAGCGTAAGCTTTTAAGTTTTAAAGCGCGATTTTGACTACATTGAGTGCAGCAGTAAAAGACCCCAAGTTTGCTTTCATGTCCATTACATTCCTTATGGTATCTGACTGAATCTTCGGGCCCAAGATATTCAAGTAGCTCTCCACCCTCCTTCTCCAGAGTTCCTACAAAACATTACTCATGTTCAATTCTAGCTTGTTGTCATACTACATCTTTTCAGTTTGAGGGGAAAGCAACCGATTTGAATATGGATATTTTAAGTACTTACCACGTCCTTTTCAAACATATCATTTGAATAGCCAAAATCGGCTAGTCTTGGTGGTGGGGTAGTCAATCTAGCTGGCCAAGGAGCTAGTCCACTGCCCTTCACTTGGTGGTCATCTAATAGAGAATAAAACCCCATGGTTAGATCAATGCTACAAAATGACTAGGGGAAAGATCTCAGGATATGCATAAGAGAGGAGAACATGGACATGAAAGGAACTCATGCTCAGAATAAGGTGAAATGCAAGCTTCCATTTGCACACCCCAAACTACATCAGGATCATCATCAGAACGACAGAGTGGAGGTTGGGTACTAGGTTCTCTTTGCATTTAACAGTCATTCGTAAGAGGTTTCTGCCAAATAACCGTTTGGTTTCTTTTTGCAACTATTCTCCAGCACATTCTTTTGACAAGGGCACTCATTTCTCTCCATATTCTAAGATCTTTTTAATTTTGTGCATATGCCTCGGGTGATGAATATGCAAAATAACCTCCTGGTCTGAGTACCCGATCGAGTTCAAGAAGAAGAATACCATCCCTCTGAAGCCAATCGATTCTACAATGGGAACAATGGGAGAACTCGAAAGATCTGCTCGGATAAGGAAGCGTCTTAGTCACAAGAACACCAAGATAGGCAGGAATGCCTCTCTCTAGGGCAAACTGTATTTGGTTTTGATGAACATCGTTTGGAGCCAAGGGCATTGTGATAATGTTAGATGATAAAAGGTAACCCCCAAAATTTGCAACTCCACAGCCAACATCCAGAACAGTTCTTACATTTCCATCATCATTCAGTACATTATTGGAAAAGTTTAGCATCTGCAAAATTGAAATAAAAAGAGAAATGTTATGAACGACGATCATTGAAAAACATGTGGAACAAAAAGAAGGTAAACAGTCCAGAAATGCAGACCATTAGGGCATGATACACTAAGCAAAATGTACTAAAATCTTCTCCCCGGGTCTAACGAATAAGCAAGAATCAGCTATCTTACATTTGCAATAGAAGTAATGTATTTGTCAGCTCCATAGTGGAAATGAGTGCCTCCACCAGGAAATACTATCTTATCACCTTTTACAACCATCCAGTTCTGATCAGACTTTTCATGTGCAAGATGAGTATGAGGAATGTTTGCTTTCCACCTTGTACCCTGGTGGAGGAATGTTTGACTTTAAAACTTAAGCAGATCTCAACTTGTACCCTGGTGGAGGAGGAATCAAGCAATTGAACCTCCTTTCGGGAGGAGGACAATGACGTTCATAATGCTCCATTACAGACAAGTCCAGCTTCAATCTCATCTGATATATAAGATTCCGGTCTAAGCATGGAATCAGTTCCGAATGTCGATCATCACAAACCTTCAAAAGCCAACATAAGTTGAATTAGAGACATTTACTACAACGATTTGGATGCTAATAGTAAGAACCATAAATAAACGCAAATGAACCGTAGACATAGCCAAGCAAGAAAGTTGACATGCCAAAAGCTTAATTCGTGGTGGAAGCCCTTACCGAGAAGCTTTATGGGACACTATCATTCTCTCCATCTTCTAGGCCAAATCTAGTTCCATCCTCTTTGTCTGAATCATCATCCCTGCCCAAATAAGTCGAGCCAAGTTTCCGCAAGGATTTGCTTCCATATTCTAGAGCAGATGCACCACGGCCTTGAGAACCAAATAATGGATCCATAGTAGAAGTAAATAAACCCAAGAAAGACAGCTAGAACACATACATAAGTTATCAAACACTTATTTTGTGCACCATTCGGTCTTCCTCTCATTGTTTTACCTACTTAATGAGATCTTCAAACTAGCTGACTCTGTTGACTATTAGTTAGATCACTCAAAGATCATAATGCATATCTTACTGGTCTGAAGGTGTTATGTTCTTCAGTATCCCAAGTAAACAGCGATAAATTCATATTCCCAGGGGCTCTTATATCATATAAAAGCCCTTCAGCCAAGACCTGTGATAAAGAAGGGGTTAAAGCAACAGAATTGTAAGAGCCCAACAGAAAAACAGGTGAAGGGAAATTAGGGAAGTAGAACCATTTGTAGACATATGTCAACTATAGAGCATTAAGTAAGAGCCACGAATCAATCACTTGATGAGTTAAAGATAAATCTCCTAATATAAACAAATGAAAGCTTCCAACTTAAGCGTCTAGTAGAACATTAAATTAATAGCAGAGATGTGACGTCTAATTATCGACACAAAAGTGCAACTTGTGTCACAAGATTGAGATCCATCAATTAAGCGATGTGTTGTCGATAAGGAATGAAGGCGCACTTAACTACATACAAAACTTAACTATCCCATCTTAATACATGAAAATGAACAGGCAAACTAAGCAACTAATTCAGTAAATAGGATCCAACAGATTAAAGTAAAGGAAACTAAAAATGGCAAACATGGAGTTCAGAGGGAATTGATTAAGTTGGCAATCAAGAACTAGAAAAGAAAAATCAAAATGACCATCTTTAATTACGCAATTAAAGACGAAGTAAATCATCATGAGATCTGAAGAGAATGAAGCTCATTAATCCTACTAGCATTGAGAACACCAAATCCCAAAAACCAAACAAAAAAAATCCATCGCAATCGCCCACACCACTCGAGAGAATCTTAAACACGAAAGCGAATCCAACCTATCATTGGAACAACCAAATGAATCCATACCCAGATGGGATTTGGCAAATCGGATCCGTGACACGAGTCTACTCCGCATTCCAATTAACCGAAGCAGTAGGCTAAACAACAGGGGGGAGCTTACTAGGAATGTGAGTGAATGAATGGAATCAAACAACGAGAAAACGCGTAGAGTGGAAGAAAGAGCAGCCCAGAGGAGATCTGGGTCAGCCGCTCTGTTGGCGTGTAACAAGAAGGAACATCAAGAGAGAGATCAAATCTCAGAGGTTGAGGTTTGGATGTTCTATTTGTGTGGAAGAGGTGAAAGCGAAGGCGAGAGTGTGAGTGATATAATTTTAAGAGGATGGAAAGGAAGGTGAACGACTAAAGGGAGGCCAGGTCAGGTCGTTAACGTTCATTTCCGAGTCTGTCAAGTATTATGTGACAAATTTGTTAAAAAATCATTCTTTCAGACATAGAACCCCTTTTTGTCGGTGATATTGGATTTTTGTTAACAAATCATTATTTCAGTCCACCAGTCTCTCCACCTCACTAATCTCGTCGTAAAAAAGTCAGACGTCACTTTCCTTCTCTTTGGCTTTCCTATTTTTACTGTCTCTTCCACCTGATAATGGAAATGACATGCGTACAAATTTAGAAGCAGGTTCGGATTTCAAAGGTTAAAAGTTGGGAAATAAAATTCTTTAACAACTTTTTTTAAAGTTAAATAATAATTATATTGAGAATTAAGATAATGTAAGGAAGTAGTTAAGTATTATACATGGACATCTCACAACAACTAGACATCAGAGGTGGTTTGTCCTTGAGGTCATGTTTCCAGGTCCTCACGACCCCTAATATTAATCGTTGTCTTAAATCACTTGGTATGGGGAGGCCTTTGTAAACTTCAAACCCATGAATCGGCTTTTGTTTAAGAAGACATGTAAAGAAGTAGTTAAGTACTATATATTGGCCTCTCCCAACAACTCGTATTATTGAAACCCGTTAGTTTATGGCAGGTAATGATAATATCATGTTTTCATTCAATCTATTATCAAAGTGCATTATTTTGTTTTCCGAAAAATTTCAAGAAAAAACATACAAGGAGAAAAGCCTCGAACTCCATTACACCCAGCGATCCCGAATACTACAACAATCAGACTCTAACACCATTCGGCGGAAGCCTCCTATTTGTCTGTTATGATGTTCAGCCTGATGACACGCCAAAACACAACACCTAACAATGGCCAAGTGTAACCAATGAAAGGGACTGCAGTATAGTGGGACAAGTAATAAATATCGAATCCACAGGTCTCTAGAGTTACTATTACTCAGCTTCAGTTCATTATCTAGCAAACTAGATTAAGGATTGTTTTATAAACTACTCTACTGACTACTCTACTAATTACAAGTTGGGAACTCACTTAGGTATGATTCCCCCTAGCTCCTCAATTAGGTCCAAGTTGCAATTACTTTTGGTTGGTCTACTGTTGATTAAACTGCGGAAGATCCTAAATTAGCTTGGAATCTCTTAAGCTGACCAAGCCCTCTTAGAAAGAATACCCGGCAGGCGATTCAGCCTTCACCGGGGTAGACTGCTAAGGCGATTCACACAGATCTCCACTACTGGAATGAATTCCAATACAAAGCAGTGAATTGATTGACTCTCGCACAACCAATTCACCACTATCAATCAAGGAAGCTCTCTTAACCTAATCAGATTCTATCTATCATAGGTTAAAGCAGAAATCAAGAGAAGATGATCAGGCTTCAATTGACTCTATAAATCATGCCTCAATCGATTATAATCAAACAATATAGCATCCAAAACTTCATACAAGAAAGATCCTAACACATGGAACTAGGGTTCATCAAAACCCAAGTGAAGGGAAGTTACTCCATAGAGAAGAGAGAGACTGCAGAAATCTGATCTAGATCTTCAATCTCCATCTCCAAGCTTGATTATAGCTCCAATGGCGAAGAAATCCTCCAAAATAGCTCCAAGAATGTTCCCAAGTCGCTCTCTCTCTCTAGGGTTCGTCCCTTGGGTGTTTGGGAACCAAAACCCCGCTCTCACTCTCCTTTGGCTCGAAATTGGGTTAAAACCCAGAATTTCCCGACTCACACGGCCAGGCCACACGCCCGTGTGGCTTACCTAGCTGCCCGTGTGAGTGCCAAAACGCGGAGTTTCGATTAATGGGCAACCAGGCAAGCTACACGGGCAGGGGCCACACGGCCGTGTGGATCCCCAGGATGCCCGTGTGAGTGCTCGGTAAATCCCACACGCCACATGGCCAGGTCACACGGCCGTGTGGGTTTTTAGGTGTGCCTGTGTGGCTTGCTCAGCCTCAGTTTAATGCTTCGTTTCTCCCTCGTCCGGACTCCGAATCAGTCGTTGTTTGATCCCAGACGCTCGTAGTCTCGTCCTCTATTTTCATGTAAAAATTCCATGATTATTTGTCCATAATATGAGGTAGAAGTCCATTATTCCTCAGGTCCTGCTCGTGTTTCTTCTCCCGAATTGCCAAATGATCTCCGATTGACTTGAAACTTGCGCCTATGCTTCAATTCACATGCTAGGATCTGAAATGTGACAAAGGAACACAACCTAGCGTAAAATAGTCAAAGAAAGCAGAAACTCAAGCCAAAATGATCAAGAAATGAGGGTACAAACATGTGCAAATCCGATGTTATCACCTGATTTGCACTATCAGAGACTATGGGAATCATGATGGTAGTTTCTGAAGCACTGGCTGTGATTTTCCTTCTTTTTCCTTCTTGGTTTCGTTTTTTTACTTCCAAGGTCAATTTTATGACTATTTAACATAAACGGTCACAAACCTTAACACTTTGTACAAAACGATCACAAATCTTTATTTTTGCACGATTTGGTAATAAACGTTTAAGCGTACAACAAAATGGTCATTCCGTCATTCTTCATCCAAAATTCTGTTAATTTAGTCTAGTCAGCTCTTCACATCATCAAAATTAATAATAAAATAATTGACCTTAACCAAACGACCCACACCATTCCAAACCACCCCCACTCAACCCACCTACCTCTCTCAATACCCTGTGGTCTAACCTATCTTCTGTCCGAGAGATCCCTCTGCCACGCCTAATTCTCCATCTCTAGCCTCTTCAGAAACGTTTCGAGCTTTGTAGAACGTTTTGCCGTGCAAGCAGTTTCCTCGTCCTTTTGCCGCAAGAGAACCGGGACGCTTGACTCGATTGTTTTCAGGAACAGGGCTAGCTGCTGCTTTCTCTGCTTTTGCAGCATCAGTCTCAACCTCTCGTTATGGATTTGAAGAATGATAAAAACCATAAATAAAAATTAGGAAATGGTAGAGGGAAAGAAAAATTGGAAGTCCGGAAAATAAAAAGGTAAAATTCATCTCTGTAGCAAAAAATTTGAAGTTTGTGACAATAATAGCCACTTTTGAGGAAATACCAATAATAGCCAGAATTTGAAAGCTTGATGACAATAATAGCCATTTTTGTTACATAATTTAACAAAGTCAGTGACACCGTTAGTCAATTTAACGGAACGCTTACCTGGCTGCCAACTCACCCTCTCTTTCGTTTCCACCTCAGCAATCACTGATAGGTGGACGACACGTCATTTACAAAAAAAAAAAAGTGGAAATGTGTTATCTTTTTATTATTAATAATTACATAAAAAAAGAGATGAACTCTCCGTCTCTCTAAATCCCTTTCCCATCTGGTTCAGGGTCGCCGTCTTTGGCAGAAGAGGAAGAAGAGGCACTGCCTTTACGGTACATAAGCACGAAGGTGAAAGGCTTGGACAGTTGACCGATGGCTGCCGATACTCCAGCTGCTACCAACACCTTCCAACAATTTCCCCAAACTCAAAATTCCATTACTAGGATTCACCAACAAGGACGAATGAAAGAAATCATTCACTGATACTGACAACCCAACAGTAAATAGAAGCAACGGAGAAATAGTAGAGATGAAATGGGAAAGTGGGGAAGAAAGAACCTTGTTGTGGGCGAGGGTTTCTGGGTCTGAAATCAAATTGGGAAGGCTTGGGTTTGATGTTGGGATGCAAAAGGAAGAAGCCCAATTGAGAGGGAGAAGAAGAAGTGGAATGAGAAGGACAAGCAGAGCAGAAACGGCTGAGGTCGGAGCTGCCAACTGAGGCAGAGCTCCAGCAACAATCCTGCAGCACCAACATATTTCCTTTTCCTTTTACCTATGTTTATTGGTTATAATTTGCAGGTTTGAGGTGGGTTTAGGAAGATGGTTCCTCTGCAAATGCGAAATTGGGAGGAGGGGGAGAAGAGGTAGAGGCATATATAATCGTGGTCGTCGTCTCCTCCACCTCCTCAATGACGTGGATGCTCTGTTTCGTCTCCTCCACCGGCCTCATTGAATGAAATTGGTATGGGTAGCGTACCTTTTTGTATCGAATCGAAGGAGGGAAGGAGAGACTAGGGGACTATGGGCCGGTGGGAAAATAATCGAGTGGTGGGAGAGGAGTCTCGCCACCGCCACACTCACCCGCAACGTAAGGAAGAAGAGAGGACGAAGATTGAAGATTTCCAGATCTATTCGCTCTCTTGATCCAGAGCAAAAGAACCGAGAGGGAGAGAGAGAAAATAAAAAATATTTAATTTTTTATTTTTATTTTTTCTGTTAATTCCACATCATATTTTTATTGACTAAAAGGTTGACACGTCAACCTTTCCGTTACTCCAGTCAGTACGTTAACTAACACCGTCAAACAATTGGACGAAAATAGCTATTTATGGTATTTCGCTAAACGTGGCTATATTTGGCCAAACCGTCAAAGTTTTGGCTACACAGTTGTATTTTGGCAAACAAGAAAATTGGAACTTTGAATTACCTGTACTATGATATATTGATCGATTTCTTGCCTCTGCTTCTGTTCATAAGCGGCCATGGAATTAACACCCAGACTCACCATATGCGACGGAATGGGGTGAAAATCACCATCGGTCACTTTCCTTGCTCTATTAATTCAAGTTTACCACTAGATTATCTATTAATTCAACCAAACCACTGAACTTGATATAAAAGATCACCATCTATCACTTCCGTTCCAACTTAACAAATGTCGTCTTAACGGTGTTGACAAACCACTAACTGTGATGACATGGCAACGTCAGATTTGAAGATAGCTCATTTAATCTGGTATTGAAAGACATTGTTGTTTGCTCGTATTTTGATACCTGGTATTGAAAGACATTGTTGTTTGCTCGTATTTTGCTTTTATAATTTGAAAAGAACATGTGTAGTGATACATACCTGTATTGTTGTTTTTTCCCCTAATATGAAAGTGGAACTAGAGGCTTTTTTGGACAAGTTCCAACGATTTGATATTGTCTGGATTGAACGCTAAGTTGAAGTCACGACTTCTATTTCAAGTTCACAAGCTCTGCAAGTTTTAGCGTCTTGCTAATTATAAAAAGCAAAATATAAGAAAGCAACAATACCTTTCCATACCAGGTTTAGATCTAATAATTTGAATTTAAACAAATATCAGCGAAGTTGTTGTAGCTCAATTAGTGTATATGGTTGTCTATGATGGGTAGGGTCTTAGGTTCAACTCCTGCTCCCATCACTTCTTTTTTATCATACAACATCTACAACGGGGTTTCATTTGCAATTGCAATGTGACGTGGGTGGAGGAAAGCAATTTCAAGTATGCAACCTACCATATGTTGCAATCGTCAATAAGGTTCAACACCTGCTCCCATCACTTCTTTTTTTTTTATTATCGTAGAGCATCTACATCGGGGTTTCATTTGCAATTGCAATGTGACGTGGGTGGAGGATGCAATTGCTTTCCCTAATTGCATTGATGCGAGTAGCAATTGCAAGTGTGCAACCTACCATATGTTGCAATCGTCAATAAAAGCCACGTTGGAAATTTGTCCATTTATTGAGTTTTTTTAGGATTAATTCACCTACATAGCCATAACTTTCACGATTTTGACAAATATAGCCACTTTTTGAAAAATACACAGAAATAGTCATTCCGTTAATAACTTTAACGGTACAGTGAGATATGCTGACTGGACTAACATTATCTGATGACATGGCAAATTTTCTTCAAAAAAAATTACAGGTGGAAATGTTCCCTTTTTATTAAATTAATTAATTACATAAATAAATAAAAATAAAACAAAGAAAAAGGAGCTGAAACTATCCGCCCCCAGTTCCCCACTTTACTCTTCATCCCGTTCGTTCGCTGATTCATCTCCCCCGAAGATTGTCTCTCTTCATCTTCTTTATCTTCTCCGATTACTAAGCGATGCCACCCTCTGCCGTCGTTGAGTTCCTAGGATCCGCTGCCAGCGCCGTTGTCAAATCCCTAGAAATGGGAGAACGAACAATCTTCGCTTACCCGAGTTATCAGCGCTAGATCTGGGGTGTCATCAAGAAAGAGTAGATTGCTCCTCCGTCCCTCCGATTACAGTGGTGCTAGAGCAGGCTTTGAAGTTGATTAGATCCAGCCGTCTTTATTCATCGTCGTGGGGCCGGTGGTGTGAGATGGAGAGAGGAAGATGAGAGGGATAAATGATGAGGTTTCTAGGTCGCAATCGAATTTCTGGGAGATGGATTCTTGTGGGTTTTGGGATTTGGTACGACGAGGGGAGAAAGAGGGAGAGATCCAAGGTTCGCCAACTTTGCCGCTTCCCCACCTTAATTCCCTCTTCTTCTTCTTCTTCGTTCACTCCAACAAGTCAACGAACCGAACCACTTCATCAGAACATCATTCCCTTCCCTCCATCGATCAAAGCTTTCATTCACTCTAGATCTCCCTTTGTCAATCACATCCATCCCACTTTAGGATGCACCATTGCTGGAAGCAGAAGAAAGGATGACGTCCGACGAAACGACGACAGCGGCAGAGGGAGAACAATAGGAGGAGAGAGCGGTGCCCAAGATCTGACCCTGATTCTGACTGCTAGAGCTCGTTTCCTCCGGATAGGAACCCTGTATTTCTCACGAAACCCTCTCCATGAAAAAAAAAAAAAAATCCCCAAATTTGAAACCCTCCCTCGTCCGTCATCCGTCAATCCTCCTCCATCGCCGCTCCCTTTGATCCACCGCCTCTCCTCCTTACTGTTTCCGCTATTCTCCTCCTACCCAACTCTCATCTCCACCGTAGGGGTAACCAGAAATCGGTTTTGAGAACCGCCATTGAAGGGGCAGAGCTCTGAGCTTTGGTTTTGCGAGATCTGGAAAGTTGGAGTAGTCGGAGGAGACAAAACTTCCTCGCGGCAGCTATATTGGTGGGTGCGGCGAAGAGGCAGTGTTTTGATGTTTTCATCTTCACTCTGGTCGATAATGGAGATGGTGGGTGTGGCAGGAGAATTGGGTTTTGGAAACCTAGATCTGATCGTCGTTGATTGGCGGAGAAGTTCGGAGCTTCGGAGAGGATGGGGTTTGGAAACCATGAGTATTTTATTAAAATTAAATTATTTATTTTAATTCAAAATCTGACGTGGCAGTCAGGTGGCATGACTTGGTGTGTGTTGGAGCTGATGTGGGAACTAAGGTGACATCCACATCAGCATCTTGTTAACGGTGTTAAAGTTTCTAACGAAAATGGCCAATTTTGTCAAACGAATTTCTAAAATGTAACTACAATTGTGTATTTTTTTGAAAAGTGGCTATAATTTTCAAAATCGTGAAAGTTATAGCTATGCAGGTGAATTAAACCTTTTTTTTAATAATTTCGTTCACAGCCTTTGTGCATCAAAATTTATTTTTTCATATAATTTTAATCTATTTTTTAGGTCTACACTTTAGATGTGCAATTTCAAAACAATATCATTGATGTAGAACAATGAAAGGAATGTGAGTTGGATTGCAAAATAGTTGAGGTGACAATAAAGAATAAAAATGCAATTGCTTTTTCAATTCATTAATGCGGATGCTCTTAGCTTAAACCACATGGCTGTTGAATTATCAACGTGTGATTGGTGACATGGCAGATTAAATGAGCTGTCTTCAAATCTGGCGTTGCCATGTCATCACCGTTACGTTAGTGCTTTGTCAACACCGTTAAGACTTCATTCGTAAAGTTGGAACGTAAGTGATGTATGGTGATGTTTTATATCAACTTCAGTAGTTTAGTTGAATTAATAGATATTCTAGTGGTATGAGTTAATAGAGCAAGTACAGTGACCAATGGTAATTTTCACTCGAAATCACTAGAAGAAAATTTAGTTTTAGAGACAAATAATTAGAGACAATTATAGTATTAGTCTCTCTAGTTAATCAATTGAGACAATTATACTATTTGTCTCGATATGTCATATTATTTGCTTATGTTTCATAATAATTTTAATAATAAATATAAATTAAGTTAGAAATAATAGAATTAGAGACATTTATTCTATTTGCTAATATATGGTAGATAACCAAGGTTGTCAACCTGCGGATCGACCCGAACCCGGTCGAGCTAGTGGGTCAAGGGTTAATGGGTTTTCCTGGTTTAGCCCGGTTCAGCTCGATTTAGCCAAAAAAATACCAAAAAGTCATTATATTGTACTTATTTTGAATCCAACATAAAAACAGTACTTAAACTCTGACACACTTAAATAACATCAATTTAAATTCAACATAGTAAAAATTCAACGACACTTTGGAACGAGCAACCCACTGACCCGCTCGGACTGGCCAACCGCCCGGGTTTTTCTGGGTTTCACCGGGTTTGAACGAATTTTCCCGGGTTTGACCATTTTCGGGCTAACTCTCAAATGTGCTATTTTAACTAGTTTTCAAGGTCGGATCCGGGCCAACCTGAGTCAACCCATGGGTCGACCCGCGGGTTTACAACCTTGTAGATAACTCATAAATATAAAGCACTTATAGAGACAAATTTAAGAGTTTGTAAATCTTTTCCTTTTAATGAAAATGACATTTATATTTTCCAGTATTAGAAGCAATTAAAATTGATATATTATATAAAATATAATAATTATATAAATAAATATATCCTCTCTATAGCATATCACTAATAATCACGCCCAAATCTAAAACCTTAGCCAATGGTAACATAGCCTAGTGGTGAAACCATTGGACCAATTGAGCTCTGGATGTGAGAGGTCCTGAGTTCGATTCCCAGTGGCGCCACTTGTGCGTTCCCGGCGGCATCCTTGGTATTGGAGGTGAAGCCTCCCCGATGATGGTAGCAGAAATCCCCGGTTAGTATGCAGGTACCACCCAATGGTTTAGTAGGCCCCGCTATCGCTCAAGCGGCACGTGAGGCTGAGAATCCCTGGGTTATCAAATAAAAAATCTAAAACCCTAAATCCTTCGAACTCTCTCCCTCTGAACTCCTCCTTGCATACACACCTCTCATCAATCATCATCGATGCCGCCAATCACTGCAGTCGTTTCGACTTCCAAGGCCCCACTGCTACGATGGTGCCAAGTTAACGACGCAGAGAAATGGCGATGAATGAGCTGGGAGTAGCTTGCGAAGAGCTTAGAGATCGCTTAAGGGAAGTGGGCTCGGTCAAAGTTCATTTTTCGGACCGATCAAGTAACCAGGCCGCCCATCTCATGGCCCATACCATTTGTGACTGGGATAACACTGAATGTTGGGCTTTGAGGAATTGAGGCCCCCTCATTTTCTTGTTTCTCAGCTTAATGCGACCGTCGCTCCATAATCTCTCCCGAGCTTTCTTCTGCTTATGATGCTGACGCTGCAATCGGCATCGCCAAAGGGCAATCATACTCTTCCTTATTCGATCTCAAGGTTTTCCTTTGATCTTTCCCATCAAATCTTATTTCTCCTTGCAAGCTTTTTAGGGTTTGTTTTGTCAATCTAGTCCTTATTCTCCTGGCGAATAGTTTATCCAAGATTTGAAGCAGTGAACTCGGGAAACAAGATTGCTCTATTTTTGTCTTCCTCCTATGCAATTGAAGGGTTGGTTATCCTGGTCGTTCCCACGCAGATTTCACATGGTTGACGAAAAGATCTGAGTGCGAGAGGACTGCAGGTTACTGCTTGCCGCAATCATCCAGTTATCGCCTTTAATTTGGTGAGAGAGGAAAAAAAATTTGAGCAAAAAAAGGGTTGACGGCGACTGGTACGAAATCATTTTTCGAAATTTTTTGTCTGTACGAAGTCGATTTACAGAGAGCCAAGTTCGGTACGAAAAAGGTTTTTGGAGTATAATGCTTGGTACGAAAAAGGTTTTCGGAGGAAACTGCCCGGTACAAATATGGCTTTCGGAGGAAACTACATGGTACGAAGCCATTTTCCTCCGAAAGTCATTTTCGCACCGGGCAGTTTCCTCCGAAAACCTTTTTCATAAAAATTAGGATGGTCCAAAAATTTGTTTCGTACCGACCATGGAAGTCCGAAAACTTGTTTCGTACCATGCCGAATTTGTTTTTTTTATATATTTAGATTATAAATAATTTATTGTTGCCAAAAATTAAAGTATCAATTTTTTAAAATTATGGTATTAAAATTTAATTTATATGTTGTATTGAATTAGTGTGTATGATTTGAAGTTAATAATTATAGGTTTATGATATATTTAGTTCATATTTAATTTGTTTTAAAGTATTGAATTATGATTAGTGTATATTAAATTTGTATTTAGTATTGATTATGTTTTAGGTTTCAAAGTTCATTATTTAGTGTTTATGATGTATTTTGTTCATATTTAGTTTGTATTAAGTATGGAATTAGGGTTTAGTGTATATTTAATTTGTAATTAGTATTGCATTGTGGTTTAGTGTTTATAATTTATTGTTGATGTTTATATTTAGTATGTATTAAGTTTTGAATTAGGGTTTAGTGTATATTTAATTTGTATTAAGTATTGAATTAATGTTTATAATTTAAAGTTCATAACTTATGATTTATGAATTATTTGTATTAACATTAGTTTGAGAATGACTCTAAAGATTTGTTCATTTGTAATTATAGGTAGACATGGCGCATGAGTTTAACCCGATAGATGATTACATGGGGTGCTTCATCAACAACGTTCGTTATCCTAATTTAGACGTTGCTTCGAGAGAGGCAAAAAACATTGCGAAGCAATATGGTTTCTTTCTGGTAAAGAGTTCGAATAAGCCAAGAGAAACAAAAAATGGGAGAACCTTCGGTCAATGTTATATGTATTGTGATCGATCCAGTAGGAAAAGAAGTCATACAAACCGGATCCGACGAAGGGGAGACGTGGAAATACTAGCACTAAAGGGGCTGATTGCATGTTCAAGGTAAAAATTATAGAATTGCTGGTTGATGAGGATAAGGATCATGGGCCGATATTCTGGCTGATACAGGGGGTGTTGGAAACGGAAACCAGACTATGGCGATGGTATCACACGCATGAGAAGACGCTTTATCCTGAAGGGCATTGTCAGAACATAAAATTCAGTGAGCAAGATAAAGAGCAGATAAAGAATATGAGAGATGCAGGTGCAGCTCCAGCAGTTCAAAAGAAGATGCTGAACGATCAGAAGGGGGTTCAAGGTTATACCAACATAAGACAGTATTACAACAAAGGGTCCAAGAACAGGAGATAACGAATGGGTGACATGAGTGCAATCCAGTACACATTGCAAGCTGTAGAAGATGAGGGCTATCATATTCATTATTTGAAAAACGATAGCAACGTGCTCACCAATCTTTTCTTCGCACATCCGACTTCAGTCCAAATGTTGAAGGCTTGGTGGTATGTCATTCGATAGACGCCACCTACAGGACCAATGCCTACAAGTGTCCATGGGTGGAGGTCGTAGGTGTTACTCCTGTGGGGAAGAATTTCAACATATGTTGCGCTCTTATGGCGGTTGAGACAAAAGAGTCATATTAGTGGTTGCTGGAATGCATAAAGGAATTGCTTGGAGAAGGGGTTGCGCGGACTCAAGAAGAACATGAAAACTAAGTCCGGGAGCACGACATCAGGGTCCACAGAGTCGGCCAAGACTAAGTCCACAAAGTCGGCCAAGACTAAGTCCACAGAGACCCAGACAGATGGGTATCCTTCAGATGATCACACATTTGACGAACCTGGTCCGGACGGCCATTATACTGGTACGTTCCATGTATCATATCAAAATATGTGTACATATTACGTGTACTTGAAATTTTCTAGCCAAACTGATTTGTAGTTCTCTAACAACAGAGTACCCAACCGGTAGCAGCCAAACACAATACGCACATGATAATTGGCTACCGATGATTGTTCGAGGCCGTTACAGTTCATTTTATGACCCAGACCCAGATGGTCATTGTGGGTTTCGTGCACTCAGTTATGCGATATATGGTACTCAGGACATGTACATGCAGATGAGGTTCATCTTGGCAGAAGAAATTCGCAACCATGATTACAGATACACAAACATGTATGGCAGTCAAGTGGTGGATAACATCAATCGCATCGACCTCAGGGACGCAAATCCGACAACTCCTGCACACTAGATGATGGGTGTGGATCTATTTGTGTTTGCCACGATTTTCAACTTGGCAGTTGTCATGTACGCATCGTACACTATTCTCGTACGTTCGGAGATGAGTTGCACTATGTTCCCCATGGACAACCTATATGGCGAGCAAGGACCGAGAGGTGTTGTGGTCCTTCATTTCGTTGGCGATCATTGGCTGAACCTTTCTTTCGCATCTTTTGACAAGATTCCGATGCCCCCTGTGGGTCTCATGTGGGATCTTGGCAAGCAAGATAGCGTCATTGGCTGGGATCAGAGTTTTCCCGCGTCTCAACAATTATGGCTCAATCTTGGAGGAGCTCAAAGTCAGGGACCTAGTCGAAGTAAAGCTTGGCAACGAAGGAACAAGTCTTAGAATATTAGTAATGTAATAGACATGTGTGTTGGTTAGCAAGAAAATTAATTATAAGATAGTCGGCAGAAGAAGGTAATAACATTGTCTCATAACTAAAATACAAAAACATAATTGTACACAAATGTATGAACTAAAAGAAAAGGTAACATCGAACTACTGTTGTGGAGGAGGATGAAAAACACCGGTAATCTGGTTGTACTCGGTCCACAGATCACCAACACCCCATAACATGTGGTAGTCGCTGCTGTTGTACCTCAGGACGTGGCTCCAACAGCTCTCCCTCTAAAAGGTCGCGTTTTTCCTTCTTGTTTCGATCTCTCACACTAATGTTACGACCCCTAAATCTAGGCAACCCCCCCCCCCCCCCCCCCCCCCCCCCCCCCCCCCCCCCCCCCCCCCCCCCCCCCCCCCCCCCCCCGAATCTCCTGCCGCTGAGGCCATCCCTATAATAACATAATAATAATTAGTCTCACAAACCTAAAACATGATTCTATCTTCTACATTATGTACAATTAATTTCCTATAGTTTTCGACTACTTTCAATAGTTCACATATTTATAAATATTATCCCTATACTTTTCTAACTAATATACATAATTAAGACATTTTAATTGACTACTATAATAATTCTAGATAATCAACACATTTTAATTGACTACTAATATAATTATACAATATTAACACATTTTAATTAACTACTAACATAATTCTAGATAAGCAACACATTTTTTTTTGTGAATAAGCAACAAATTTTTATTGACTACTAACATAATTCTACAAAATTATCACATTTTAGTCAACTACTAACATAATTCTACAAAATTATCACACTTTAATCGACTAAATATAATTTTAAATGCATATTTATAAAAACAAACATAATTCTACATACAATAGTTCACATTTAATAGTAACTAACAAGGTTTAATACTGATTAAGCCATTTTTCAATAAAAACAAACATAATTGTTTTTAAATAAAATAAAAACCACCGCCGCCACCAATTTTCGGTTCTCGGACCGACTCACCGGTACGAAGCCGGTTCTCGGACCGAGTCACCCGGTATGAAAGCGACGTTCGCCTGAAGAAGCCCCGTACGAAGGCATTTTTGGCGCGCTAGGTCTGGTACGAAGCCGGTTTTCGTAGCGTTAGTCCCGGTACGAAGGCAATTTTTGGCCTGCTCCGAAAATGGCCTTTGTACCGGGACTGGCGCTACGAAAATCAACTTCGTACCATGCTTCGCCTACCGGAAATAATTTTCGGGAAGGTGGGGAGACAAAGAGTGGAAGGTGGGGAGATGGAAGAACATATCTCTGTTGCCGACGACCCCAAACTCAGAATTCGGCGAGCTTCTCCACCTTGCTTCCTCAAGCACCGCTCCTGGTTGCCGACAGGCGACAGTGATGGGGAGACAGAGAGTGGAAGGTGGGGACTGGGGAGGGCAGGAGGATGGTGTGGGCCGGCGAGGGTTGCCGTCGGCGAGAGTGGGAGGGGAGTGAGTAGATTGGAGATGGAAGGTGGGAGGGCAGAGGATGGAGTGGCTGGCGGCGGTAGTCACAAGGGGAATGGTTTTTGCGGCGGTGGTCACAAGGCTGAAGGGGAAGGGTTTTTTCAATTTTGAACCAAGGGTAAATTTGTCTTTTTCATATAACTGTGGGCGGCAAATAGTAATTTGTTGGGCGTTAAATAGCGATTAAGCTCTTTTAAGGTTTTTGGTCATTAGTACTGTTTGATGCAAAATAAGATTTTTATTCACACTAGTGTTGAACAGGCATGCTACTGTCTACGCCGCCATTCATCGGTATCATCATGGAAGCTTGATCCTTGAAGTTAAAGTACTTCTCTAAAGATCAGTCACTTTGTTTCCTGTTGGTTGTCTTCAGGAGCATGAATTTGTAATCTCCAAAATATTTGTTATTGATTGACATGGACAATAGCTTAAAAGAGTTTGGTTGTTATGCAGATGCATGGTAGATACATCATTGAAAGCAAAAGAGTAGTTCAACTTCAGTCTCATAGTCACAAGGACATGAATCCATCCGTGGTAACTGAATGGTGCAATTCATCATCGTAAGACTTTGAAGCCTAACTACATCGTTCAAATATGCAACAACTTCAGCTGAAGACGTGTACCTTTTCTAGGAAGATGTATTCTTATTGGTTTGTCCTTGATTTAGGATTTTATTTTATTTTCAGCACCAATTCTAAATTGTATCAACATGTACCACGTAACTTTTTATCTATCAATAAAGTAGAAACCTTGTGTATATATAAGTGGAGTAATTCTTATCTATATTTTTTATTATTAGTTTTAATCAAATTAATTACAAAAGCATATTATCTGCGTAAAAAACCTAAAATAATAACGATTATTTGCCTCAAAAAATATTTGTTAGAGATAGATATATAAGTCTCTATAAAGTTCTTAGAAGCAAATATAATTGTCTCAAAAACTAAAATTACAAACAAATGTTTCTCTCTCTAAAAGTAAATAAGAATAAAAAATAGAATCACCATCAAGTAAAATAGCCTCCTAATTAATTAGTAGCATATATTATTTGCATCTACATCTGTCTCTAAAAAGAATTAGAGATAGAGGCGTCCGATGCAAATAATGTATCTGCTTTAAAAGATATATAGATGCAAATAAACGTCATTTGGAAGCAAATAACCTCTGCTTCTAAAGCCTATTTTTGTTGCAGTGAATGATTTTGAGGTTAAATTTTTAGAAGGAGCGACAGAGAAGAGAGATGGGGACGGGGATTCGGAGAGGGCAGTGATTGTGAAGTTCAATTGTTCTTTTTTGACCGGTTTGGTTAAGTTTACTTAATTTATTATCAATTTTGATGATGTGGAGTGCTGACTGGATCAGGTTAACAGAATTTTGGGCGGAGAAGGATGAAATGACTGTTTTGTTATATGTCTAGGCGTGTATTACCGAATCGTGCAAAAATAAAGCTTTGTGACCATTTTGTACAAAGTGCAAAGGTTTGTGACCATTTATCATGGTCCATGAAACCGTATCGGATATCGTACCGGAAAAGTAAATGGTATGATATTTTATGGTAGAACCATGGTTTAATCATAGTTCAACCGTTAGACCGTTAAATATCGCCTACCGATTTAACCTTCGATATTGATATTTCGTGGTTGAACCGCCGGAACGGTACGGTTTCATGGACCATGCCATTTATGATAATTACCTTCAATTTTACTAACGACTGTACACCAGATCAAAAGTTTATATAGACACACTTCACAAGCTACAATAATACTGTTTTAAACTGCATCTATGAGGGACACTCATCAGGCATATATATACACAAACTTCTTACTGACATGGCTACCAATAATGGGGTATATAGGTTCCTTCACAAGGCAAGAGTTACCTGCCAAAACGGTGACAAGTCCCCTCTCCTGAAGAGTTCAGAAGCTTTCATACAGTGCAGTTATCAATGATGCTCAGGAAACCTACAGGGAAACAAATTATTATACATTAACAACAACTAGGATTAAGCCTGCACTCCGCTGCGGGATACTAATTCTTTTATAATTTCAATGTTCGCATGTGACATAGAATTGTTGTGGTTTCAACTAAGCTCATAATCATGAATGATAACTCTAAATATAGAGAAGATCTTAGATAGTTTTACTGAGATTTTAAAATATAAACTGGTTTCTTGATAGTAGCGATGTGATTTAATTAAACCTATAACCATATATATAACGCAAAAGTCACACTAGGGTTGCAAAATAAACATAAATGTTGCCAGGAGTGTGACAAAATTTTCCAGAATATATATACTAAATAAAAGTTGCAAATGGAGATTGAAGATTTCAAGCTCGGCAGGACAAAATGTGCTGAGAAGTTTCGTGCCTTTATGGATTGCACGATATCAAAATGGCCAGCTTTGAAGGATATCATCATTTATCGAATGTTGATCGGTCCCACATGGCGACAACTCTTGCTTTTGGTTGTATTTCTGAATCAGTGGTTCCTACTTTTGTCCATGCGACATTCATCTGCAAATTTTCTTCCAGAGTTCTTCTTGATCAATTCTATGATTTCCTCCTTCTTTAGAAACACATAATCTGACGGTGACTTACGAATAAGTGACAGAGCTGCTTCATGTTCAAACACCACATCTATTTCAGAATTCTCTTGAAGACATCTCCCTTCCAGTTTGTATTTGAGTTTTGCAATCAAGATCTTATTGTTAGGTTTATATAAAAAGAATTGTAATCAACATGTGCAAACATGGGAAATTGGTCAAAAGCTTACTCTGTGCTTCCTTCACGCAATTTGCAGATGCTTTTTCTGTATATAAACCTTGTAATGTCAATAATTGTCATGCAAGTGACCTGTTGTACAAAACTTCGAATGTATTATACAGGTACACAAATGAAAATGATACAGTTCATGTTAATGTTGGTGCTTGTTTACATACCTCTCTGAAATTTCTTTGGTGGTTGATTGGTGCGTAGGTGGCCACTTTTTTTCGAGTAGCATCAGTGAAGAAGTGAACTGGTTTGCGACATGCAAGAAAGCTAAATCGTTGAAGAGTAATGTGTAAGTATTATTCATTAAATAGTGGCTCAACCAATCAGTTATGTTTGGCAAACCTATGCAATACAACTTACTTGTTCATGATATCCTTGCAGTTGTCTGTATAAGAATGAATGATAAGCTCACTTGCAACTGTGGATTGAAATTCGTGCTGATATTTACAGGCATGGTTAGGAGTTACTCTACTAACTTATTTGATTGTCACAATCAAGGGCAACTTTGACTCCATTGCTGGAGCATGCCTTAAGAAATCATCAATATTATGGCCACTGTACTCAACATAAGCCTTTGCTCCACTGATTGTAAAAGCAATGCGTCAATCATGCATTCTCATAAAGCAAACAAATTTGTACAGTTTTAAGAGCATACCAGACATCTTGTAGGACCAGGACGAATTTCTTTAACCTTCCTTTAATGGTTTCTAGATGTGTTAGTCTTCTAACACATCCTGTAACATCTGCAGATTTAATGTTTGTTACGCTTTTTACAGTGGTGGTCTTAATGATGGATAAAGAGACATATATTTACCTGAATGGCAGACGAAGTCATCTGATGTTTGAGGCACAATTGAAAAGGAGGCTGTTGTGTATGATCCCACAGGAAACTGCTGGGAACCATGTTTTTCCTCAATGTGCCTTCCAATCTGATTGGAAGTGAGGAGCAAGCGCAATTCTCGATGGACAATGCGCTGCACTGACCTCGCTGGACCAGCTACAATATTGTGGAGTTCATGCAGGCAACCAACCTTGATCTTCTTAAAAACATCTGTTGCCTTTTCTTCTTCAACTTGAGCTTCGATCAACCTTTCCTGTAAATTCAATGGTAGATAGATATGTTGGCAAGAGTTTTTATCTTTTAGTTATGGGCAGCCGGTTAATTGATGTTTAGGGTTTGTATATTGGTAATTTCTTTTGTCTTAACACTGAATCATAATTTTGTTTTAACGTTTTGACCAATATTTATGAATATAGTTTGGGGAATCTGGTTCCAAACCTTTTTGTCAAGCCAAAGCATGTGATATGTCCTTTTCTTCCATGTGGATAAAGGCACTTCTCGGAACTCAAACCGTGTAACGACATGTCGAGCTATAACGGTTCGATTGTTAGTTCCCAAACGCAGTCCTCGAAAGCACATGCTTGCATCAATGGAATCTGCAACACGAATAAAGACGAATCGAGAAATAAATAAATGGAAAAAACTTGCATAGGAATCAAAATGCGTTTACAGGATCTCTTTCCAGATTTAGATGTCTTTACCTTGCAATTCGTTGGGGACCACACAATCGCGATCTGTAGTTTTACGCTTATTCCTCAAAGATTGCATTTTGTGTGGGTCCAAGGAAGCTCACCTCTGAGTTGTACTGTAAATCTGTTAGGTAGAAGAAAGCATGCAGTTTGTTCGAGACCCTGATTATCCGTTGGTTCTTGTATCTTGTCTGCGCGGCGGATATTTGAGAAGGCATCAAAAGCATATGCGGTAATTCTGGAAGCTAGGGTTAACAGAGGGTAACTCCTTTCCGGACCTATTGTTTGGGCCTTGACATTGTGTTTGGGCTCCGTTTGATATGCAATGGAGCTTAACTGTAGTATCATGCCTTTTTACAAAAAAGTTTACAATTCGTTTAGTTGATTCTTCTGTAAAGTTGAATTAGTTGGGCTCACTGAATTTTCTTTCTATCTTCTCTCTGGAAAGTCCGAACCGAGACTAACTAATAAAAACCGATGACTTCTTTGTAGCTTCGAGTTTCGAAATAAAAAACATATATTTTTGTCTCTTGTTAAGAACAACGCAAGAACTCGAAGAACATTTTTTTTCAGGCGTAAAATTCAAAAAGTTTGGCAGAGCCCATAATACCCAGTTTCAGTTTCTTCGATGTTCGCAGAACTAAGATGATGCAATGTCTGTGAAGGCCTCTGCATATACAATGTTTCTTGTGTAATTGGCTGGAATGTCCTCTTCATTTTCAATCAAGAATCTCAGATCACCTGCAGATCTTACTCTTGATGCTGCCACATAAAGTTGTCCATGACTGAATACTGGTTTGGGCAAATAGACTCCAACCTTGTCCAGTGTCTGGCCTTGGCTCTTATTTATAGTCATCCCATAACATAAGCGTACTGGGAATTGCCTCCTCTTCAATATAAAGGGCCATCGTTTGTCTTCTACGTTGAGTACTATTCGTGGTATAACAATCTCTTTTGTGTCAAAAGATCCTCCCATGATATTTCCTACAATGATATTTTCTCCCAATTTTGTAATCAATATCCTCGTTCCGTTGCATAGTCCGTTTGGCGGGCTCAAATTTCTCAGTAACATGATTGGAGTGTGAACCTTAAGTCTTATTTCATGATCTGGAACACCAATGAACTGAAGAGTGTTCAAAAATTCTGTTGGGTAAGTTTCAGCGAATAGCTGAGGTACCTCTGTATCTAGTTGCATAGAGTCTGAACTGTAGTAGCAATGGCAATGTCCAGGAATTTTTTGCAACATGAAGTCATTCACTTCAGTCACAATTGCATTAGTAGGAGTAACGATTGCCCTTCCACTGAGGTAATTTGTGTTCTTGTGTTGCTCCTCAAATGCGTCATATATGTCATTTGTGATTGACTCGATAGGATTTTTTCCAGCATATATCAAAAGCATCTGTGGTATCTCAATCCAATCTGAAGGTGCATTTGCCATAAAAGATTTTGTTGGTAACCTTCCATCACCCAGTGCCAGAATCCACTCACCAAAGTTCAATCCACAGCCGACCAGGTTTCTATTATCTTGTGAATCATCAAGCCTCATGTTCTTCGACAGTTTGAGCACTTGAAAAAAGGGCCACAACGATGACCTCGTGATGGATCCATCAACTGTTTGCTCCCTTTCTGAATCAGAAATGACTGGAAGAGTTTGTCTAAAATCACCACCAAAGACAACTGTTTTTCCGCCAAACAACTTATATTTTGGACCTGACAGTGGTGTGTCCATCAAATCACAAAACGTTCTGCTTATAGCTTTAAATGCATTTCGATGTGTCATCTGTGCCTCGTCCCAAATAATCAATGAAGCTGCACGTATTAGCTCATCCAAATGAGTACCTGTCTTTATGGAACATGTAGATGTATGGTCTATATGAAGGGGAATTTTAAACCTTGAATGAGCAGTTGTACCGTTTGGAAGTAGTGTAGCTGCTATTCCAGATGAGGCAACAACTATAGCAATTTTAGAGAGACTTTTTAGTTTTGCAATGATTGCATTGTAGAGAAAAGTCTTGCATGTTCCTCCATGGCCATATAGGAAAAATGAACTGCCAAGGTTGTTGTTGATAGAGAGAATAATGAGTGTGAAAGCCTCCAGCTGTTTTGTGTTTAGTTTGCTAACCATAGTGCTTGCCAGCAACCTTTGTTGATCATCATCAAAGTTAAGATGCTCATTAATCAGTGGATATGATCCATCATCAGGTTCTGAATCTGTTGGTCTTGGGAGGTGTAATTGCTGAAGTGAATCTCCAGTTGATGCAACACCCAATTCTTAAGTCTTTCATCTGAAGGTTGGAAAGTTTTTGAGTGGATTTGTTTACGAAGAGAATGAACATGATTTTCACTCATTAACCTCCATGAAGATTCAAATAGAGCATTAGGATCAGGGATCTCACAGAACATCAGCATCGAAACAAATGTACTCCTTATTATGTGTGGCATACTTGATGCTGCAATTTCTTGTAATACCTGAATCCATTCTGAAGAGTCCGACAGAAGCCCCAACTTTTGGCATGCTCTTTCGTAAGTACTACAAACCTCTCCTCGTATTGTTCTTAAATTGAGGAAGCTTGTAGCTCCTCTCACTTTGGTCAATAGCAGCCTAAGAAAGAATACATCATCACTTCCTGGAGGAACATATGCTATCCTTCCTATTGCATAGCCCCTCTTCCTTGGAGTCCATTCACTGTATTCTTCATTCCATGTAAAGGAATTTGGTATTTGAGCATATGTAAGCTTTCTTGCACTGCAATCATGTCTGTTAAGTTCAAACCACGAAGTAAGATGAGTTTTCCCTGCCCTTGGATTTTGCAAAACATTTTGGATATTTGACTTTCTCTTGTATGAAACATTATGTTGTCCAATCAGGTGTACACCAAGTCGAACCACATTAGGCTCTCAGTGGTGAATATAATACTCGTTGATTCTCCATATAGCTTCGTAGGAGGACAGCGATCTGCAATCAATGAACTCTTGTATCTCGTCTTTTGTTTTTTTCGTAATATTTGATGGCACCTGAACTGAACTCGCTGAATCTTCTGCAACAATAAGAGATCTATCTGGTCCTTTAGTAATGTACTTAAATAATTACTTCACCAATCCTCCCTTGTGACATATTTCCACATTAATATGGGCTTGAGCTCTAACCAATAAGTTCCGATTGTATGGAACGACATACCTATTATCCAACATTGCCTTTCCTTTTTGAACTTGAATGCCTGAATTTCTTCTTCTATACACGACATTCCCAAACTTGTCGAACGAAGATTCTGAACTGAATTCTTTGGGAAAATACTTTGAACATTTACCATCTTTCATACATGGTGCATTGGGGTTGTTAACTCCACAAGGTCCATGAATCATGAACTTAACCACTGCAGTATACCCTTCTGGATATAGATTGGGGTCTGGTATTTCTGCAGAAATCATTTCATCAATGTCAGATGTTGTCTTTAGTTTATCCTCTTTGGCCAACCATATAAGCATATGGACATGTGGGAGGCCTCTCTTCTGAAACTCAACTGTGTAGATTACTGTAAAAAAAAAACAATCCATCATTTGAACTTGATAGTTCATTCACAATTTTAAATAATCAAAAAAATGTATATAATGAATGGTTATGTAGAGCCAACTCACTGGCTATCGTTTTCCAAAATATGATTCCCGTTTGAACTGGTCAATTAATATGGCAAGCTGCATGTGAAACACACGGCAGACCACCATAGGCTTCAACTCGCTGTTTGGCCCAACCATATCTGCAAAAGCGTCAACAATTTCTTCCCAGAGAGCATTGCAGGTAAATGTAAAAAATAAGTCTGGGTTACCATAATGTTGACAGGTTGCAATAGCATCATGATAAAGTTGCTGCATATATCTTGGTCCTCCTGTATAAGAAGAGGGCATTATAATTCTTCCAAGCTTTTCTCCATCCATGTCTCCCTTTGCAAATGCATCTTGTGATCCCTGATAAACTTTGGCTCTTAAATCTTTTTGATGAGTTCTAAGAAATCCCAGTCGATTGAGTTCAATTGTTGAAAATGCATCAACGCAGTAATGTTGCAATGCTTTGCCACTTTGAACCAGCGTATGCCCCTCATTCAATCGATATTGAAGTCTAAAAGCATAATACTCCCTTTGAGTAACAAATTTTCTTCGCATTGATGCCGGACAAAAGGAGGCATTATATGATATCTGAGGATGAAACCCATCTTCTCCGTATGGGAATAGCAGTGGGAAGTGAAGTGCCTCGAATTTTGGATTGAGGCTTGTTATACGTTTCAGCCCTTCTCCCCAATGGTCAACAATGATATCTCTATCCTCCCTATCTGCAACAAAATCACCAGGTATTAAGGCTGCAATATCAGAGCTAGTTGGCAATTCATATTGTCGATTCCTGCTTTTGATCCCAAAGATTCTGAGTCGGAGATTTGGTGTGTAAGAAAGCTGGAGATCTTGTCGAATGCGCCTAAACGTTTTAACCAACTCGTTGTTTTCATCAAGCATTCAGAGCAAACTTGCAAGTAACTCAAGTAGCAAGACTTCTTCTCGAGATGCGAAGTTTGCAAGTCTATTGTTAACCTCATTTTCAGGTTCAAATATATATAGTTGAGCAAAATTTGGCCTATTTCCATCAACTGGAAGCAAGGATCCAATTCTATGGCAATTCTCACCACAAATAACCATTGAATATGGTCCCCTTGTTGTCAAAGAGCGTGGATCCAGTTTGGCTCCAAAAGATGTGAAACACAAAGAGCCATTGTAGGGCCTGATGTTGTCCCTAAAATGTTTTGACATTGCACCACCATTAAGATCCAACAGCTGAGCAAGCAATGGAGGTGGCTGCTTTAACAGGGGAATGCAAACTCTTCCTTTCTGACAACAAAGACTATACACAGGATTTAAGGATTTCCTGTGTCGATCCAATCGCTCAACATTCCAGAAAAAAGCACCACATAACTGACAGACACAGTCAGGTTTTCCAACGCTCAGTCTATCATTGTGCAATGGCTTCCTTGCAGCTGGGACATCAGTGGATGTTTTTTTTTTGTTTTTTTACCTCGGCGATCATTTGCAGTTGAACTGCAAGATGTTTCATTATCACCCATTTCGGTATAAGGATCTGGAGGAACGAACTCACTGTTGTGAACATCTGTTGGCTCTGAAAGTTCCCGTGAGAGAATGAATGGTAAGCTTCTCTATCTTTTGTTTACTCTGGTGCTATCCACGTTCATAGCTGTAAAGGTATTAGTTGGATCCCTGGAGGATTCGATTGTGAGAAGTGTCACCTCTCTTTCGCTTGAGCAGGTTGGAAGGCGCTTTCTTCTTTCTAGGTGTCATTCTGATTACATGGAGTAAATGTTTGATATCCAGTCAGACCTAAATGAGGAAAAAACAAAAGTTCAATAACTGCCAGGAAAACAAAAGTTCAATAATTGCAAACTTCAGTGTTTTGCCTTGGTCAGTAAGAAAAAAAGAGGATCCAAAACATTTAATAAGGCTCCATTAATATTTAATTGAGCAACTAAGAAAACAAACGTGCTTAACTGTAACTGATGAGGGGTTCTATATCACCGATGATGTGTGTCTTTGGCGTGTAGACTAAACAGCTGAGCGGCAGGTCTTACCTTGCTGGATACTCTAGCTTGCTGACAGTCTATTGAGGGGAGAAAGTCGATACCAACAAAACTATTTGCTGAATACAGGAGTAAAAACCAGAAAGCAAAGAGGATGGTGAAGTTCCATTGATGAAATCTCTTTCATCTATGATGTGTTTCTTAAGATATTATACTGTTAATATATATTTATTATAAGTGTCTAATCTCTATCAAAGTACTCATTGTGACTGCTGGTTCTGCAACCAAGGGCAAACAATGATGTCTTTTGCATTTAATGCATGAGATTTTAGTCATATGATTAATCTAAATTATTTGAATCTTGCAACTCAAAAGATTCCTTTTAATATTACCATGTCTGTTATCTATTACTGATTTGGTCTGTTCTAATCTAATATTTTTTTGTAGACAATTCTTATTATTTCCCAACACATGACGTAAACAACATCATTTATATTTGTACATACATACAGTTAACACATAAATACAAAACACAGACATTTTAGTTAAAAACTTAATTCTTTAATAATGCATAAAAACTGCAGAGCATCTGCATTCCACAAAAGAGGGACCAAAAGGTCAGAGTTTTGATCACACTGGGGTCACAACATATCAGGTGTCCAAATTGACCGCCCTGATCTTGCACACAGAATTACATGCACTTAAAATTTACATCATAAACAGATACCCAAAGCAACATCAGTCTTGTTCAGCAACCAACAACATAACTTCTACATAGTTTCCAGAAATGGCCAGGCAAGGCAAGAACAAAGTCTACAAACAGGTTCCCAAGAAGTTGACAAAAGAGTTGGCGAACCCTCCAACCAGCACACCTTCAAACGATCAACAACATAAACATCCTGCCCATCATCAAAAGCATTGTTTTCTGACAGCAATGCAGCATCTGATGACTCGGTATTTGCACATGTTTTCCCCTTTGTTTCTTGATTGTTTGAGCTTGAATTATCGTTTCTTTGGCCTATTTTATGCTAGGTTATGTTCCTTTGTCACATTTCAGGTCCTAGCACATAAAGTGAAGCATAGGCGCAAGTTTCAAATCAATCAGAGATCAATTGACGATTCGGGAGAAGAAACTCGGGCATGACCTGAAGAAGAATGGATTTCTACCTTACTTTATGGACAAATAATCATGCAAGCTTTGTATGAAAAGAAAGAGGACGAGACTACGAGCGTCTGGGATCAAACGGGGACTGATTCGAAGTCCGGACGAGGGAGAAACGAAGCATTAAATAGAGGCTGAGCAAGCCACACGGGCACGACCCACACGGCCGTGTGAACTGGCCATATGGCCGTGTGGAAATCACCGAGGGATCACACGGGCAGCTGGGAAAGCCACACGGCCGTGTGGCCTGGCCGTGTGAGTCGGGAATTGCTGTTTAAAACCCGATTTTCAGCAAAAGGAAAGAGGGAGAGCTGGGTTTTGGATCCCAAACACCCAAGGGACGAACCCTAGAGAGAGAGAGCGACTTGGGAACGTTCTTGGAGCTATTTTGGAGGATTTCTTCGCCATTGAAGCTCAGGAATCAAGCTTGGAGATGGAGATTGAAGATCTAGATCAGATTTCTGCAGTCTCTCTCTTCTCTATGGAGTAACTTCCTTTCACTTAGGTTTTGAGGAACCCTAGTTCCATGAGTTAGGATCTTTCTTGTATGAAGTTTTGGATGCTTTATTGTTTGATTATAATCGAATGATGCATGTTTATTGAGTCAATTGAAGTCTGATCAACTTTTCCTGATTCCTGCTGCAATCTGAGATAGATAGAATCTGATTAGGTTGCTAGAGTCTCATCATTCGGTAGTAGGAGATTGGCTATACGAGAGTTAGCCAGTTTACTGCTTTGTACTGGAATCCAATTCCAGTAGTGGAGTTCTGTGCTTATTGCTTCAGCTTTCTATCCCGGTGAAGACTAGTCGTCTGCCGGATAGTTAGACTGAGAGGGTTTGGTCAGCTTAAGAGATTCCAAACTACTGTCGGATCTTCTGCAGTTTAATCAACAGTAAAACAACCAAAAGGAATTACAACTTGGACCTAATTGAGGAGCTAGGGGGAATCATACCTAAGTGAGTTCCCAAACTGTAATTAGTAGTTTTACTTAGTTTAGTTAGTAGAGTAGTTTGGTTAATCAATCCTTAATCTAGTTTGCTAGATAATGAACTGAAGCTGAGTAATAGTAACTCTAGAGACCCGTGGATTCGATATTTATTACTTGTGCCACTATACTGCAGTCTCTTTCATTGGTTACACTTGGCCATTGTTAGGTGTTGTGTTTTAGAGCATCAAGTTTTTGGCGCAGTTGCCGGGGACCCTCTAGGTTATTGGGGAAACGTGAGAATTTGTTACTCTAGCTTTTTATTTACTGCATTTTATCTCTTCCACCTGTGTACCTTCACGGGTTGCTTCTGCTGATTGTGTGCAGGTAGTGCATGACCCGTAGCCAGTCGGGAGATCTACTACCACTAGACCAAGAGCTTGAACGAACCTGCAGGAACTTCAAGCGGGCTCTAAAGGCGCGACTGGCTGCGGAGGAGGCGCTATCACAGCTGCAGTTAGAGGAGGAAGAAGAAGAGATGGCTGAACCAGGGAACCATGATATGATCCCTGAGGAGCAAACCATGGGATCCCACTGGACCGCTAGAGCTGCGGATATGAGGTCACCCATTCAACATCCTCATGTCCCAGCCAACAATTTTGAGGTGAGCACCTCAGTAATCACCATGCTGCGCGGTTCAGTAGTGTTCCGTGGTAAGGAGGGGGAGTGCCCCCGATCACATCTCATGCGATTCCACGAGCTCATCGATGGAATCAAAATCAACGGGGTCCCAGCAGATGCCATCCAGCTGAGATACTTCCCTTTCACCCTGGAGGGGCAGGCCAAGGAGTGGCTAGACACTCGACCTCCGGGCTCCATCACCACGTTCGCCAACCTGGAGGACAAGTTCCTTACCCGTTACCATCCTCCGTCGAAGACGGCGGACTTGCAGAAGCAGATCACCCACTTCACCCAGGATGAAGATGAGACCATCCGGGACGCCTGGGAGAGATACAACAGTCTCTTCCTGAGGTGTCCCAATCATGGTTTCAACGATGCTTTCAAGGTGGGAACCTTCTATCACGCCCTCTTCCCGGAGGACAAGCAGCTGATTGATTCGGTTTGTGGCGGGAACATGCTGACCAAAACACCGCCACAGCTGAATCAACTCTTTGAGGAGATGGCGGAGAATGGGTACGATTGGGGCACTGCCAGGAGATCGAGACGAGCACCAGGACGGGGTGTGCATGCTGTAGGCACCCAGTCATCTGATTTGGTGCAGGTGGTATCGAAGCTGGTGTCAGCTATCGATCGTTCTGGTTTGATTGCAGGTACGGGCCAGCCGCAGGCGATGCTCTGCCAGTGGTGCGAGAGCACCCATCACATTGTGGAAGACTGCCAGGCGATGAAGGAATCCACCACGCCCCAGGAGCAGGTGAACTTCATCAACAATGTCAGGCGCAATGACCCCTACAGTAACACCTACAATGAGGGGTGGCGCCAGCATCCCAACTTCTCCTGGGGTGGGGCAAATTCCAGACCACCAGTCCCCCAAGGACCACCGGGCTTCCAGAGGCCACCATATCAACCCAGACAGGGGCAATTCCAGCAGCCACAACAGTCTCTCTACCAGCCCATGCAAGGGCATGCTGCTCCATCACAGCCGCGACCTTTCCAGCAGCCAGGTGCAGCCCCTGCCGCCCCAGTGCAGAATGATCAGATGGCTGAACTGCGGGAATTGGTGGGTTCTCTCGCCAGTTCTAGTGCTCAGAAATTCAATACTATCGAGCAGTTCATGGAAAAGGCATCGGGTAAATTCCTGGCTCTTGAAGCTGGCCAGAGAAACACACAGGCTGTCTTGCAGGATATCCAGACCCAGCTGGGGAGTGTGGCTCAAGCAGTGGCACAAAGGGCTCCTGGTACCTTGCCCGGTCAGACCATTCCTCACCCTCAGAACCCGAATGAGCACTGCAATGCCATCATGACCAGGAGTGGCAAGATGACTGTTGATCCACCTGCTCGGGAACAAGAGAGAGAGGCCCCTGCCTCGGCATATCCAGCAGCTGAAGCAGAAGCAGAGAAGGAGGTTGTGGTGCCTGCACCTAAACCGCATCCAGTAGTGAAGGAGTACATCCCTAAACTCCCCTTCCCTACTCAGTTGCACAAAGACAGGCTGGAGGCAGAGTTCGAGAACTTCATGGCCATGCTTAGGAAGCTGAATGTCCAAGTGCCTTTCCTGGAGGCACTATCTCAAATGCCTAAGTATGCGAAGTTCCTGAAGGATCTTCTCTCAAAGAAGCAGAAGCTGAGCGAGCTGGCCACTGTGGAGCTCAGCGAGGAGTGCTCGGCCATTCTGCAGAACAAGCTTCCGCAGAAACAGAAGGACCCAGGTAGTTTTACTATCCCGTGCTCTATAGAGAATTTGCATGTAGAGAGGTCCTTGGCGGATTTAGGTGCTAGTATAAATGTTATGCCATATAAGCTGTTTAAGAAACTAGGCCTAGGTGAACCCCGTGCTACTAGGATGAGCCTTCAATTAGCTGATCGATCTGTAGTGCATCCTAGGGGCATAGTGGAAGACCTTTTGGTTAAGGTTGGCAAATTCAATTATCCTGTTGATTTTGTGATTTTGGATATAAATGAGGATGTGAATGTGCCATTGATACTGGGAAGGCCTTTCCTGGCCACCGCCAAGGCCCTCATAGATGTGCATGATGGGACCTTAGTTCTGAGGGATGGTGAGGAGCGAATAAAATTTTCAATTTCTAATACTCTTCCTGCTTCGTCACCTCTGCATGCTGTATCTCACCAGGAGCACGAGTCTGTCGTGTATCCTTCTGTGTTGCCTATTTTGCAAGATCCGCCTCCCATACCTTCGCCGCCACTCCCGTCCAATCCATCATCGAAGGAACAGATTAAGGCGGAGTGGCGGCCGAAACAGCAGGCAGCTAAGCCTGATCGAAAGAAGGCCGGAGACCACTATGAGCTGGTCCCGCCCCCACCTTGGCCATCCGAGTATTCACTCGCTTACATCCTGCCGGATGGCCAAGTTGAGTTGGCAAATGCTGGTGGCCACATTCGGCGTGTGCATGGCCACCATTTGAAGTTGTACCTCAAGAGCGAGGTGGATCCGCTCTTGAAGGCACCTGCTCCTTCACCTCACTGAGCATCCACCGACTGGCGTCCAGCTAAAAGACGGTAAAGAAGCGCTGGTGGGGAGGCAACCCCACCTAGGTTTGCATTTTCTTACCTTTTTCTTTTTGATTTTTGTGTTTTTTGAGTCTTGAGATGTTGTTCCAGAGTCGAATAGCGTTTTTGAGTGAAAACAGGTTGATTTTGGGGCTCCAGCAGTTCACACGGCCAAGCCTTAAACTCACACGGCCGTGTGGATACCTTCCATTGGCCGTGTGAGCTCTCGGCAATTTCCACACGGCCAAATGTGCAGCTGGCACGGCCGTGTGGATTGGCCTGGCCGTGCGGCCGACACGGGCAAAGCATTTGATCGCACGGCCATGTGAAGGAGTGCCCTGGCCGTGTCTGCCCCGCAGAATATGGCACGGCCAAATGAGCACTTGGCACGGCCGTGTGACATTCCTCGGCCAGGCCGTGTCGGCCGACACGGGCAAAAATACACGCGACACGGCCGTGCGTGTCTGGCCGTGTGGCCGAGACACGGCTGTGCGTGTCTGGCCGTGTGGCCGAGACACGGCCTATTTATTCGGCCAGCACGGCCGGGTCGTCGAATTGTGTTGGGCAAAGTCCCTCTTTGACATCAACTTCGATCTGGATGACCTCGGCGACGAGTAGGCTGTACTCGTTGCCCATCTCAGTGTGTTTTGTTTTCGTTTTAGACTTTTGTGTGTTTGCTCCATGTGTGAGGAGCTTGAACTTAGTGTCGTTTGTTTTTGTTTTCGGTTTTCTTTTGTGGATTGTTTTTGCTATAGCCGTCTGGGCTAGCACTTATCCCTAACGCACAGTGTGCTAGTATGTTCTTGGTGTTCGATTCGTGCAGAACTGTCCATCTTCCCGTTTGTTTCTCGCTGACTGGTCCACTTCCAGTCCCCCAGCAGTTTCACCCCGGTAACATCGTTCCCCTTCTTTATCCCTCTGCTCTATTGAGGGCAATGTCGTGCTTAAGTGTGGGGGGGTGCTTTGTATTGGTGGGAATGTATATATGTGTGCTTGGAGCCTAGTCCACTGTCCAAATCTCGAGATTTGAGGGCTCCAAGTACTGCTATTTGATCATATTGGCACTGTGTTTTGAGTGATGAATTGAATGGTTTTCGATTGATGCATGACAGCTTGAGTGTGACTAGGACAACCGATGATGAGGACTAAGACGTGCAGTAGAGTTGTGTAGGGGTTCAGTTTTTCAACTGTTTGCTTACCAACTGTGACTTGGATTGATTACTTGTTCTTGACAGTCTCTTATGCATCTAGTTCAGGGTATCAGAATGTGAGATAGAGCATATAGGTAGCCATGTGAGATTTGAGCCTGCTCGTTTCTTTCTTGTGCGATAGATCCCTCTTCCATGATGTGTAGCATTCACGTTGTCACTAGCTAGGATGATGGGGGCATAGGATTAGCTCACGACCAAATTTGACTGTCCTGATGTGTCATACCCTCTAGTCAGCCCCTTTGAGCCGTGTGTTATCCTTTCTTTTTGGTCTATAATGAAAAAATCACCCTTTTGCATCTTTTAGAAGGTTCCACAGAGTGGTTTTTACAGATTCTCTGCTGTTTCTGCTAAATTGAATGTGAGTGTTGGAGGTAGTGCTTAAAAGTTGGGCAGATGTTTGAAATATGTGCAGAAGTGGTGGCTCTCTTAAGAAATGAAAAGAAAAACAAAGAAAAATTGAAAGCAAAGAGAGCCACTACCGAAAATCTGAATAATGCCCAGTAAGTAGTGTTTCTTAGCAGTCTGGCTTAGAAATACTGACATTTATACCTCCTTCGCTCTTGTGCTCAGTAATGCAGAATAGCAGAAAGGAAATACCGGTTTGTTTGACTGTGATTGTTTGGGTTTGGAAATGTGGAACCTTGTGCTATGAATACTTCCACCACCTAAAAGGCCTTTTCCCCATGTCCAAGACCCTAGCCAGTCATTTGAACCTGTGTCTAAGACCTCCTGATTAGTTAGTGGTGACACCCCATATGTGAACTCTAGCGTTTAGAGGCTGCCATCATGGTGAAGAGATGTTAGGGATTGAGAGAAATAGCATGCGCATTTTTCGCATCAAATTGTCCTGACCCCACTGGTCGAGAGTGAGTGATTCATTTTTCATATTCTATATACTCGTGTACCCCGGTGAGGACCTAGATTGCTCGGTCTCTATTCTGATGTCTTGAGTTGGATGCATGAGTTGACTGTTTTGAGTAAGTGGTTGAGTCAAGTCTAGGTTGGTTGGTGAACAGAAGGGAGACTCTTCCTTTACTCGATTTTGCTGCACTCGAATGTCCTTTGTGGTGGTTGTCCAGGTTGCTAATGAAGTTGGTCATGTATTGATGTTTGAAAACCAGTACGATTCACGTGTTCTGTGCCTTTATGACTTGTCCCCAATGTTGATTGATTGAGATATGTAAGCTTACCTTGTGTCTGACTTGGTTTGCTTGGGGACAAGCAAACGGTTAAGTGTTAGGGGATTTGATGACTCGGTATTTGCACATGTTTTCCCCTTTGTTTCTTGATTGTTTGAGCTTGAATTATCGTTTCTTTGGCCTATTTTATGCTAGGTTATGTTCCTTTGTCACATTTCAGGTCCTAGCACATAAAGTGAAGCATAGGCGCAAGTTTCAAATCAATCAGAGATCAATTGACGATTCGGGAGAAGAAACTCGGGCATGACCTGAAGAAGAATGGATTTCTACCTTACTTTATGGACAAATAATCATGCAAGCTTTGTATGAAAAGAAAGAGGACGAGACTACGAGCGTCCGGGATCAAACGGGGACTGATTCGGAGTCCGGACGAGGGAGAAACGAAGCATTAAATAGAGGCTGAGCAAGCCACACGGGCACGACCCACACGGCCGTGTGAACTGGCCATATGGCCGTGTGGAAATCACCGAGGGCTCACACGGGCAGCTGGGAAAGCCACACGGCCGTGTGGCCTGGCCGTGTGAGTCGGGAATTGCTGTTTAAAACCCGATTTTCAGCAAAAGGAAAGAGGGAGAGCTGGGTTTTGGATCCCAAACACCCAAGGGACGAACCCTAGAGAGAGAGAGCGACTTGGGAACGTTCTTGGAGCTATTTTGGAGGATTTCTTCGCCATTGAAGCTCGAGAATCAAGCTTGGAGATGGAGATTGAAGATCTAGATCAGATTTCTGCAGTCTCTCTCTTCTCTATGGAGTAACTTCCTTTCACTTAGGTTTTGAGGAACCCTAGTTCCATGAGTTAGGATCTTTCTTGTATGAAGTTTTGGATGCTTTATTGTTTGATTATAATCGAATGATGCATGTTTATTGAGTCAATTGAAGTCTGATCAACTTTTCCTGATTCCTGCTGCAATCTGAGATAGATAGAATCTGATTAGGTTGCTAGAGTCTCATCATTCGGTAGTAGGAGATTGGCTATACGAGAGTTAGCCAGTTTACTGCTTTGTACTGGAATCCAATTCCAGTAGTGGAGTTCTGTGCTTATTGCTTCAGCTTTCTATCCCGGTGAAGACTAGTCGTCTGCCGGATAGTTAGACTGAGAGGGTTTGGTCAGCTTAAGAGATTCCAAACTACTGTCGGATCTTCTGCAGTTTAATCAACAGTAAAACAACCAAAAGGAATTACAACTTGGACCTAATTGAGGAGCTAGGGGGAATCATACCTAAGTGAGTTCCCAAACTGTAATTAGTAGTTTTACTTAGTTTAGTTAGTAGAGTAGTTTGGTTAATCAATCCTTAATCTAGTTTGCTAGATAATGAACTGAAGCTGAGTAATAGTAACTCTAGAGACCCGTGGATTCGATATTTATTACTTGTGCCACTATACTGCAGTCTCTTTCATTGGTTACACTTGGCCATTGTTAGGTGTTGTGTTTTAGAGCATCAGCATCCCCAAAAGCTCATCACCTTTCCTGCACCTAAGATAACTTAAATCCGGTATAAAAACATAACCCATCAGCATCCAAAACTAATAAAACAATATACAAAGGCATTAATTTTAGAATTTATACCCTAAGATTCATATAGGCGACGCTTAGCAGCAGAAGGCTTCCCAGATGGCTGGTGTGAAGCTTGGTCAGCAAGCGAAAAGGGGGATGAACTCTCTGTCTGCTCATCATCCCGCCTCACATGAGGAGATCCAGTTTCAGAAGACTCGAGCTTCTCAATCTTTACCTTAGCCAGAGGTGATATCAAGCTGCATTGTCAAAGAACAAATCAATAATTTCTGATTGCACACCAACCATGAATCGATAAGTAAAAAAGTCAAAAGCTTACAGAGCCCTTGAAGACAAAGGTGAAATCGTGGAAGATGACTTGCTCATTTTACTCTGAGGAGTATCACAACTCAGCCCAGCAATGGATGACAATCCATGCACTCCCTGGCTAGTAGAACTCATCAGATCCATACCGTCACTCCGAGTCACAGGAGTCCCCACTGTATCCTTCACAGCACCAACTGATTGAATATCAGAGACCTTCAAAGGATCTGCAATGGTGAAAGGAGCTGGCATAACAGTTGCTCCTGGACCTTCTCCTTTTCCTTTCAAATCAGCAACAGAAACCAAAGGTGCAATAGACGAAACAGCAGGCAGCAAATTTGGTGAAATCACGTTGGACACAACAGCACTCTCCTTGATGACCAAAGGAACATGAGATGAACTAGAAGAACCAAATGAACACATAAGTGTTTTCCATGGAACAATAACAACAACAAAGCACAGGGAATTGCATCAATAACAAATCAAGACAAACAATCAAAATATTACCTAAGAGGTAAGCCTGCAACCTGGCCAATTTGGAATGTTGGATTCGCGCCTCCAACTGACACTGAGTCTACAACCTTTTCCTTGCCCTTGGATGAGCTAGATTTGCAACAGCAAAGATCAACAATTAGACTAACCAAAGAAAAAACCCAAACACATACCAAAAACCCCCTAACTAACCAACACAAACATAATAACAGAGTAAACAACCCTGACCTAGATGGTACGACAGCAGAAGCTGAAGTTGCGAAAGGTGCATCTGGAGCAGTCAACACCAACATTCCTCCCTGACCAGAATAGGACTAACTTAGGGATTGGGAGGAAGAAACACTAGCCGTGACATCTGGAACTCCTGTAAGACCAAGCACTGGACCCTGAACATCACGGGGCATAACTCGGAAAACCTGGAATTCACCCGTAGATACTCCACTTGACCCAACCATCGGAAGCTTGACTTCAAACCTGACAAACTGGCCGAGTAAAGCCTCAAGTTCAGGCGGTAGCTGGCCAGACCTGTGAGGATATCTCTGGGCAAGCAGTTGGGCAGATGTGAGCACCAAATTGTTCCCACACGGGCCGAAAATAATGAAAGGGGCCTCGTCAGTGGCATCACGCAGGGTCAGCTGTATTTTGTAGCTAGAAATGACACAATAGAAAGGAAAGAAAATTCCATCAGGACAGACATAGGAGTCAAAAAACAAAAACAATGGCAAGTTCTCTAGGATTTGACAGGAACACACTGGATTAAACAAAAAGAAACAATGATTAGACAAAAACACACCCAATTGTTACTTGCTGCTCAGTGATTTCCCAATGGTCAGGACACAAGTAGTTGCCATTTTGCCATGTAGAACGCTTCTTCCTGCACATGTTGCATGACATGTAATACCACGGAGTCCGGGACTCAATCGATCGGATTATACCACCGCAACGATGTTTTTCATCCTGAACAAACATTGACAATCCCAAAACAACAACAACAAAAAAACGGACAACTCCAGTACCAGTCCAAACATCAAGAACTATATCGGAGTGCAACTCACCACAAAAGCACCGCTGTGGTGTAGATCAAGAAGCTTAGCTATGGTCCTGGTTCGTCGTTCAGCATCATCAACAGAATCCCCCAGGGTTGCAAACTTGACTGGCAAATCAGCCACAGGAACCCTGGATCCCCCAAAACTGCATAGATGGAAACAAAAAAAAAGTAAACCAAACACAACAAAGCAAATCCAGAACAACAAAAGCACAGTTTAACAACAAAGCACCCACAAAGCAGCGAGGCTGTAAGCTTCTGGTATCCTCGGGCTAACAACTATACGAGTTCCATAGGAACTTGAACATGAATATTCACCTCCTGGACAACAAAAATAAAATAAGTCCATAGTTCATGATTAAGCAGAATGGAAAACAGGAAAAATACATACCTATCAAGCGACCAACCATGAGCCCTCCAACTCCAATGATCACTGGCTCAATGGAGTCCGCCTGAATCAGCGCAGGTCGATCAAGGATTGCAGTTGGTTCATTCCAGAGAGTGATTGAGACTTTCTGGCCCATAATAGGATTTCCCAAAAAAAGATCAAATTTTACGTGCAGCAGACGAAACAGCATTCCCCAATGCTTAAAATCAGAACATAGAAAGACCTACTGGGCATTTTCAAGGACCAGAACTTGTTTTGGAGTTGAGCCGTGATTAGTAACCTGATGAATCCCGCTAATAGAATGAAGACGCCTGACAACATCTGACCAAACAAAAAAGAGCAATAAGGAGCCATGCACGAAAGACTAAAACCCAACCCAATTGAGTAAAGGAAACACAATAAGCACCTGCAAGGATACGATTGTCTCCTGAACGCTTGGACAGCTCACTATAAGGAACAACCTCAAAGGAATCAGTTGGAAATTCAGCTGCAGGTAGAGAACACGCCTGAAAAACAGTGGTCGCTGACAACTCTATTACCAGATCAAATGAGCAAGCACGATAGAGATTCCTCGCGGCACTGAGACCGAAAGACCTAAGAACGTAGATGACTCCCACACGCAGCACACGCCTCAAATTCAGACCCAATAGAGACATAAGCCAGGCTCTGAATGAGCATACCCTAAACAAAACAAAGCAAGGCAATTCAGAAAGAGCAAAGAAGCAACAAAAAGGGGAAAACAGAGAAAGCACTGTAAGCATCAAAGAATCAATGTAAGAGAATCACCGTCTGATCCACCCAAAGGCAACAGTGATTGAACACCCTTGTTCCAGAAGGATTCTTGGCGAACCACATATGGAGCAGCCGCAGCCTCAGAGTCACCTCTCTGGTACCTCCTTTGAGATTGCAGAGCAGAGAAGCATCCATGGTGAGAAAAAAGACGGGAGAACAGCGACTAAACCACAGAGAAAAAAGAGGGAAGAAGAAAAAGAAGGAGATGAGTTACGAAAATGAGTCCTCTTGTGCAAAAAGATGAGAAATACGCCTCTCCACTGGAGCGCATGCATCGAGGCACTGAGTGACGTGTACAGAGCAGGAAGCAGTATACTGTCTGAGACACCCCCCTCAGGTGGATAACCGGTATCAATCAGCTATCAACCACCCTCCCAGCACCTCCAACCCCAGCCAATCAGCCGCCAAGTCTCTCCAATACAGTCTTGCGAACAACAGCCCAACACGCCCCCCTAAGAATCCCTAACAGACACAATCATATCACGCAAAACTCACAGAGTATATGTGAAGGCCTCGTCCCACGTGCCCGGCTTGGGGCAAAGTCACATACCGATTTCTGATGACCAACGCGCGTCGGAGCCACCAAACGACCCCAATGAAGGCCAACCAGAAGCTAACCACCAGTCCCACCCCGACCGAGCCCCCAAACTCCGTCAGATTCCAATGAGGCCTCACCCAACTACAGCCCACACGCCAGCCCACGCCAGTTTGAAACAGTAATTCTCAGTCACGTTGTTTAGTAAAAGGTGTCTGCGTGTACAGTACCAGGGGCTGCGGTGGGTTTCTTTCTTTTAATTAATGTTATTCTCTGTAATTTGCTTTGTTAAACAATCTTTTTTCCATAAATGACCGAAGTAATAATACTCACCCTCTAAAATGACGAATCAAACAGCGTAGAGCCTTATAACCTTATCGATCTTGGTGCGGCACATAGGGCAGCCCCATTTCTTATTCTTGACCTCCTTCAAACAAGACATACATCCAGCCATGTGGCCACATGGGGCACAAGCTCCTTCAACATGAGCGTCCAAACATATCACACACACAGAAGATCCCCCGTCCTTCTTTTCGCGCGCAAGCTTTGACAGGCGATTCCACGGTAGGTGGTTCAGAAGACATATCAACAGCATCGACATCGATCCTTAGATAATGAATTGGGCCTTCTTCTATGACTGCATCGACAAGCGGTGGAACTGAAGGTGAGGCCGAGCTAGATGATTGAGGTGCCACTGTTGAGACGCCACAGGATGTTGCTAGCCTTGTGGAGTTTAGACTACTGATTGGAAGTGCTGCTATGGCCAGATTCATATAGTTCCAGCCACTTGTTGGAACTCGCTTCCGAAGGTGGACCTTGACTACTGTTGCCCGGCCTTCACAAAGTTATTTGCACTAGTGGATGCAGCGACACTTGAGATTTCCAATGTGAACATTGCGATCGCAATGTGAATGAACAGTGGCACCTCTGAACCCTTGGCACTATGAACGAACATAAAATTTGAGGTAAATACAGAACACTATGGAAGGATCCCAATGTGAAAGATGAAATCCAATGGCAAGGTAACGAAGAACAATTCCCTGAAGTTTGACAATTGCCAGAAAGAAGTAAAACATAATTCATTATAGAGAAATTACTATTAGAATGGTCAACAATTGCTACTGAAGGATCAGCCTAGTGCAACTTAGGTTCCTCCATATTAGCTTTCCACAAGGAGATCACCATGCGAGGTTGGGAAACCTGGACTTTCACCAAAATTTATTAACTGGGAAGCTAGATTAATGTTCAATAAAACAAATAATTACATCCTGATTCATAATGTCCTCTCTTCATCTACTAGAAGCTGATCACAGAAATGAGGACATAAAAGCATATACTAACACACACAACCACTTCGCCTAAGAGCAACCTCTTGAACAAATGGAGAGTGATTTCCAATGTCCCTATTATAGTTACTAGATCACATTATATCATACCATATCACCTACAAGAAATACTGCTACCGTAAGAGAATGAAAAAACAATTTCAATCGTAGGGAAGAGTACTGAAGTCTTAGGACATTCCTTTATTCAGCATAGGTTATGTGTGCACACATTACCCGTGAACTAGAGTATATGGCAAGCTCCAACTTAAAAGGCTTTCTGGCATTGCGGGAGCCTGTTGGTAAAATAATAATACAATCAAAGTCGCAAAGCCCAAGCAATTCGAACCAAAAGATAGAACCGAAATATGATGAAAATCAATCGGACACAATTCACTAGTGAAAAGGGGAAATCGATAAGAATCGATTGGGAAATCTCAACTCGAAATTAAGGGCAATTGATATAGGTAGCTCGTCACAACTAGGGTGTATACCTAGCTTATAAGAGTCGCTCTAACACTCCAGAATCCTCAATAGAGTATTTAGGGCAAAATCCACAAAGGGAACAAGCAAAAGCTTTCTGAAATTTGATAATAATAGTCTGTCTTCAAATCAACGAGTTCAGCCCCTTTAATTAGGCGCCAAACCACCCTAATTCGACCATAACAAGGAATACATCAAAGTAAACTGACTTAAAACAAAAACAACCCGTTAAGCCTTCTTCTCACATTCTGCCATCTTTTCAAGCGTTCCTTCTTCCTCCACGACTTGCAACATCATAAAGGGTTTGTACTTGAATAACTCCTCGTTCATGCTTGCAAAGTAACAGCCCAAATACGTTGCAAACTTGTCTCTCATCACCTTTTCCTTAGAATGTGTGACTGGCCCTTTGATGCCCTCATCAGTCCCTCCTTCTTCAAAAGGATTTGGCCTCAAATCCGAATTGCATCCAAATAAGGTGCAAGGTCAGAAACATTAAATGTTGCACTCACTCTATACTCACCCGACAATTCGATCTTGTACGCATTGCGGGAGCCTGTTGGTAAAATAATGATACAATCAAAGTCGCACAGCCCAAACAATTCGAACCAAAAGATAGAACCAGGATAGGATGGAAATCAATCGGACATAATTCACTCGTGAAAAGGGGAAATCGATAAGAATCGATAAGACAATCGCAAATCGGAATTAAGGGCAATTGATATAGGTAGCTCGCCACAACTAGGGTGTATACCTAGCTGATAAGAGTTGCTCTAACACTCAAGAATCCTCAATAGAGTATTTAGGACAAAATCCACAAAGGGAACAAACAAAAGCTTTCTGAAATTTGATAATAAGAGTCTGTCTTCAAACCAACGAGTTCGGGCCCTTTAAATAAGCTCCAAACCACCCTAATCCGACCATAACAAGGACAACATCAAAGTAAACCGACTTAAAACAAAAACAAACCGTTAAGCAGAAAAACCCGTTAAGCCTTCTTCTCACATTCTGCCATCTTTTCAAGACTTCCTTCTTCCTCCATGACTTGCAACATCATAAAGGGTTTGTACTCGAATAACTCCAAGTTCATGCTTGCAAAGTAACAACCCAAATACGCTGCAAACTTTTCTCTCATCACCTTTGCCTTAGAACATGTGACTGGCCCTTTGATGCCCTCATTAGTCCCTCCTTCTTCAAAAGGATTTAGCCTCAAATCCGAATTGCCATCCAAATAAGGTGCAAGGTCAGAAATATTAAACGTTGAATCACTCCATACTTACCCGACAAGTCGATCCTGTAGGCATTGCTTCCCACCTTCGAAACCACTTGAAATGGACCATCACATCGAGGCAGCAACTTGGATTTTCTTTGTTGTGGAAATCTTTCCTTCCTCAAGTGCACCCACACCTAGTCTTGCACTTTAAAGTGCTTTGGCTTCCTATGTTTTTGACATTCCTCATAATCTGCTTCGTTCTCCTTTCAATGTTCAACCTAGCCTTCTCGTGGTGACTCTTCACAAATTCAGCCTTCTTCGCTCCATCGAGATTGACTTGCTCCTTTAAAGGTAATGGCGTCAAACCCAAAGGCGTGAGAGGATTGAAACCATGCACGAGCTCAAAAGGAGAGAACTTTATCGTCGAATGCACCATTCTGTTGTAAGCAAACTCCACGTGTGGTAGACAGTCTTCCCAAACATTGATGTTGCTCTTGATCACAGCTCGAAGCATCTAGGATAGAGTTCGATTGACCACCTCTGTTTTCCCATCAGTTTGAGGATGACATGTAGTAGAAAACAACAGCCTCGTCCCCAATTTGCTCTAAAACGGCTTCCAGAAGTAACTCAGAAACTTGGTGTCTCGATCAGACACGATATACGTGGCATCCCATGCAATCTCACCACTTCCCGAAAGAACAAATCTGCCACATTCACAGCATCGTCATTCTTGTGACATGGGATGAAGTGTTCCATCTTCGAGAACCGATCCACTACTAAAACAATGGAATCCATGTCCTTCTTTGTTGTCGGCAAACCCAACACAAAATCCATAGATATATCAATCCATATTAGGACAAAAAATTTATTTAGTCATTTTCTGTTTGTCACAAAAGGTATGGTGATATGACAAAAATAATATGTCCTATTTGGTATGCCTAATGTGACAAAAAAAATTGTTTTCAGAATAAGTCGTCAGTTAAAGTGAGTGATGTGACAAATGTTTCGTGTCACAATTAATTTTGTCAAAATAGGCGTCTCATATCGGGATGTAAGATACTCAGCAGTGACAAATTTCTTGTTGTCAGAATAGTTCGTCATTTAAAGAGAGTAATGTGACAAATATTTTGTGTCACAATTAAGTTTGTCAAAATAAGGAGACACAAAAGTGACAAATTATATCGTTAGAGTAGCTTTTGTCATATTATGCTTTCCCGAATTGCTTAAATGACAAAGTATTTTGTCATAATAGACAGCAATAATCTTACGACGAGCTGGAAAAAGGGCATGTTCGTCATACTTTCGTGGATTCTGTTTTGACAAAAGATATGTTCGTCATTATATAGTGATTTTGTTTTTGACAAAAGACATTTTCGTCAGATTTGCATGTGTTAGACTGAAATCAATCAGCCCGCCCGACACATTTTTTCCCCATCCAAATTTCAGTCCCGCCCAATTTTTAACTGTTCAATTTTCAATCCCTCCCAAATTTTAGACCTCAATTTTCATCGCGCCCAAAACTTGAAATGCCCTCTCTCCTAACCAATTTTTTAGAGTGTTGCAAGTTTGGTCACTCATTTAATAATTTCCACCCCACAATAAAAAATATAAAAAGTAATTGAAAGACACAATAAAGAATCCGAAATCCCCCTCTCTCTCTCCACCATCGGTCTCGTCCCTCTCTCGCTCTCCATCTTAGTAGTCTCTGCCACAAAAACCCTAGATCCACCCACACCATAGTTCGTCGGTTTTCTTTCGATTCTTCTCATCCTCTTCCCACCTACCGGAGGCAAAGCAGGGGATTGAAACTGGAGGAGAAGCGCCGGAGTACGAGGCTGCGTCCGCGTCCACGGTCGCGCAACCAGAAGCAACAAAATGGCCGGGATGGCCAGGGCATAACGTGTTCAGGCTTATAGTTCCGGTACTGAAAGTAGGTAGCATTATCGGAAAAGGGCGAGATGATTAAAAAGATGTGCGAGGAAAATCGAGCACGAATCTGCATCCTCGAAGGCCCGCTCAGTATTTTTGATCGAATCGTCGGTATTTCTTTTTCGAACTTCCAGTCCGCTTCTTGTTTGCCGAGTTTGCTCTTTCTTTATTGTAGTCTGCGATCTAAAGTTTTGAGCTTTGATTGGTTTTCTTCATCCAATTGTGAATTGAGATTTGCCCACAGTATGCAAACCCTAGTTCCTGGTTGTATTGTTCTGTTGTGGAATTGTCGAGTTAAAGTTATTGTTATGAAGTTAATATATTAGAAAGTGGAACCTGCTGTCGTGAAAGAAGGAATAGTGAGTAATCATTTTATTTCTGCAAGCAAACTGCACTCTGTTATACACCACATCACATTGCATTTTCTGGAAACCTGACTATAAGTATTCATTTGGGAGAACGTCTCTGCTTAATCCATGAAGTTCATTATGCTAAACTAAGAGCACGTAACTTTCATTATAACCTGAAATATACTTCTTGTGTTTCTATGAACAGGTGGATGATGTAGGCCTCTTAAGAGCAGAGACTCCCAAGTTTGAATCCCATTATATTGATAATCTTGTTGGTAATAAACAGAATTTTTTATGAATATACTCATTGTGCTTTCTAATTGTGCTGAGGGTAATGAAGTTCCCAACTGGCTGCAGGTGACGAGAAGGATTGCTATGAAAGGTCTCCGATCAACTTTGTCAATCACTTTTCCTGTCCTATAATCCGATTCCAAGGCTTGGATGATAAGGTGTGTAGCCACTAGCCAAATTCCTTCCTAATTTTTTTTTTGTTTGCTCCGAAATTGTCATGAACTGACAATAAGTTAATGCTCGAAGAGGTCAAAGCCTATTTCCCAATTTGAGATCTCTTGGGAACTGCAAATTGCTGAAGGATTTTACATTTGAGGCACACTACAAGACTAGAAGGACCAAAGCTTGTCTTACGAGGTGTTATATCCCTTTTTGTCTGGTTTCTTTTCCGAATTTCTTTATGAGAAACACACATTTATTCAAGAGATATAAGATTTTTCCTGGGCTTAATTGCAAGTTTGGTCACTCGAATTGCTATAAAATTTCACGTTTGCCACTCAAATTAATTTATTCCATTTATAGTCACTCAAATTAGTTGAACAGTTCAAGTTCGGTCACTCTCCGTTAACCTCCGTTAACTTTGACTGACGTGGCGGTCAACTCTGACAGTTGACCGTTAAATGTGTGACGTGGCAAATAAAAAATAATAAAATAATAACATTTTTTTTTAAAAAATTACACATCATTATCACAAAAAATTATAATTATAAAAAAAGAAAAAAAAAGAAATTATCACACATTTATTTGCCACCTCCGAACCCACAACCTCACCATTCTCGAAATACAGATAAATTTTTAGAAATTTCAAATCTTGCTCCGCGCGGCTGCCGCCAGCTGCTCTCCTCGATTCCCCGCCTGAGAACCGCGATCTTGCCGCCTTCGAACACGACTCCTCGTGGTTATCGCGGCGGTGATTCTCTGCTTCATGTCGACTTCAGCTAAGGCGAAACGCGGCGGTGGGGGACGCAGGGGAAGAGGCAGAAATAGGGCCAGCCCAGCAATTACGGGGGCAGTGGTGGGTGGGGCGGCCGGCGGTGCTGCCGGGAGGAACGGCACGGCGCATTCGTCGTCGTTGGGTGGGCCGGAGTACAATTCATATTTCGGTGGTCTTGCTCGTCAGTTATTGCTGGCAACTTTCCTAGTTTGCTTTCTGGCTCTGTGGGCAGCATATTAAATTAATGTTTTAGCTATGAATTAGAATGGTGAGAGTTGCGAGTGAAGATGGAATCAGCAAACATAATACGGCGAGGAAAGCCACAAAGATTTTCTTTTTCCACCGAGAAAGTTGACGACCGCTCTACTGACGATCAAAGTCCAGTGGTGGCTTTTGAAGCATTCATTTAGCTAAGCCTATTGACCGTCGAACATGGAGCCGGCGACGACGCGGGCGTTGACGAATTCGACCCCGGCGTCGTTGCAGTCGACGGCGAAGGCGTCTTTGTACCGGCCCGCGAGCGGGTAGTAGACGTTGAGGGTTTTGGCGAGGGAACCCTTGAGGTTCTCGGTAAGCAGCGAGCGTTGCGTAGAAGAAGAAGAAGTGTTGGGGTAGAAGAGGCAGAGCGGGACGTAGCAAGGCGGTACGGTTTGATGGAGAATGGTGAGGTTGTGGGTTCGGAGGTGGAAATACAGATAAATGTGTTTGCCGGCCAATTCAGTGACGTTGGAAGTCCGATCTGGAAACAGAGTGGTCGGTGGCTCGGAGCGGCAGTTCAAGTTTTTGTGATAATTTATTTTTTCATTTTTTATAATTATAATTTTTTGTGATAATGATGTGTAATTTTTAAAAATTTAATTTTTATTTTTTAATTATTTTTTATTTGCCACGTCACACATTTAACGGTCAACTGTCAGAGTTGACCGCCACGTCAGTCAAAGTTAACGGAGGTTAACGGAGAGTGACCGAACTTGAACTGTTCAACTAATTTGAGTGACTATTAAATGGAATAAATTAATTTGAATGGCAAACTTGAAATTTTATAGCAATTCGAGTGACCAAACTTGCAATTAAGCCATTTTTCCTGTGTCCTAGGTTTGAGCCCTTGGAATATGCTCCATTTGATACTATCTAATGCAGATAGTGAACCCTGACCAAGCTCGCAAAATCTATGAGGCATTGAAGAATAAGGGTCTGCAGTTGGCCTTGTGGAGTATGAAGGGGAACAACATGGTTTCCGCAAGGTATGAAGATCCAGTTTTTTGTTTCTTCTAGTCACAATAATTATCTTAATTTGAAAGAGACTGAAATTAATATATATTCGGGTTGCATGGAGGCGGAGAATATTAAGTTCCCATCAATTTATGTAAAATGTCTGGCATACGAAAGAACTTTCAAAACCTGAAGCTGAGAACATGGTTTACATTTTGACATGAATTTTCATATATCAGGCCGTGAGATTGTTCAGAAAGTCATGAAGAAAAAGGTTAAGTATGGACCAAAGGAGAACCCAAGATCCGCAAAGGAGTTAGAATGTTTTGTGTCATGGTGGACAACTTAGAGTGTTTGGTTATGCTGAACAAGGAGTTAGACTGTTATGAAAATGGTTGTAATGTTTTGGATCTTTGGTAATATTTCCATTATCAGGTTGCAATACAGGAAACAATTTCAAATTATGAAATTTTTGAAGCAGGTCAAATGTGAAAACAATGTCATTTCGTCACATTATGTACATTGCCTGACAAATTATTCTCTTGTCATATTAGACATGAGACAAATAAACAACCTTTCGCGACAACTAATACTCGTCATAGTATGCAGTTATGACAAAATATATTCATCATAATATTCAGTTATGACAAAATAATGTCGTCACAATAAACACTTGTGACAAAATGTAGTCGTCACAATATACAGTTATGACAAAATATAATCGTGTAATATGACGAACAATTCTCCCAAAATCACCATATTATGACAACCGTAATGACAAAATATATCGTCATAACATCTCTGTTTGTGACAATAGACTACCCAGAACCTCAACTATACTGAAAGCAAATGTGACAACCTTGTTTTAAATTTTTGTCACATTTGACATATCCTGACGGCGATAAAATGACAAACCTTTGTGACAACACCTCTTGTCATATTATACCTAATATGACAAATTCGGTATCTAATATGAAAAAATCTTCTCGTCATAATAGGCCAAATTTGTTGTAAATGGAGCATAAGGAATCAAAAATGGTGTGTATAATCCAGACGATTGCACCTTCGATTTGGTTTGCTTACACTTTAAGCATCTTGCACACAGATTCTCCAAGTCTCCCTTCATGTGAGGCCAATAAAAATGCTCTTGTAGACAGCTGAACGTCTTGTCTACACCAAAATGCGCCATGAGACCTTCTCCATGATCTTCCTTCAACAATAACTCTCGAAGTGATGCACGTGGAATACATAACTGATAAACTCGAAACAGATAGCCTTCACTTTGAAAATACTTCCCATCTCCATGCTTCTCACAAGCCTTATAGATTTCTCCAAAGTCAGCATCATCATCATAAAGCTCCTTAATATGCTCGAATCAAAATATCTTGCATCCATCATGGTGATCAATGTATGCCTTCGAAATAGGGCATCAACAACTACCTTCTCCTTGCCCTGCTTATACTTGATCACGTATGGGAATGATTCAATGAATTCCACCCATTAAATCAATCTTGGAAAACACACTAGAGCCATGTAATTCGTCAAGCCTATCATCTAAACGAGGTATAGGATGACGATATTTAACTGTGATATGATTAATGGCTTGGCAGTCAACACACATTCGCTAGGTGTGATCCTTATTGGGCACGAGTATATCAAGAACTGCACAAGGGCTCATGCTTTCACGAACATGGCCTTTCTTCATGAGCTCATCAATTTGCCTCTGCAACTCTTTTGACTCTTCTGGATTCGTTCTATAAGCTGCTTTGTTCGGAATAGTAGCTCCTGGAACGAACTCAATATGATTTTCAATCTCTCGGATGCAGGGCGGAGTGTAACACCCCGAATTTTGGGTTATGGTTCGACCATAATACGTGATCGGTTGGGTTGACAGCTGTGTACTAAAAGTTGCAATCGCGGTTTAGCAAAAAAAAAAATTATTATTATAAAAAAAATAGGTAAACCCGACCTGGGGCCGAGCGGCCCCTTCATTTAATTCCCAAACCGCCCATACAAACCAAATCCCCAGCCGCCTCTCGTCCATTCTTTTCCCCAAGCAGAACAAAAATATAAACCGTCGGCAAGAAACCCCCAAACCGACCCTCTCTTTAATCCCAAATCCCCACTGCCAGCATTAACCCCCGCCGCCCTCTCAATTTCCCCGGAGAAAAAAAGAATCAACCGCCACCACCTGTGACCGCCGCCCAATCCCCAGCCGCCCGAGATGGATTTTAAGGAGAGGAAGAAAGAAGAAGTCGTCAACCAATCTCGATCCCATCCCTTTCGTGTTTCTAGGTAAGGATCACGAACCCCATCGCGGTTTCTAAACTCGATTCATTGTTAGTCTACCGAAGCTCGTTTTTATTAGCGATGGTGTTGAGGGTTCGATCAACAAGGAGATCAATGTCCCGGGTCATCCAACCTAGGCCTAGGCGCGTTCTAGAGGTAAGGGAACTCGATCCCTTTGAGTTAGATCGATCGATTTGGGGATTTTTCGTGAGGGTGCAATTCTGAGGTTGACGTTTAGGCTTTTAGTGACAGAATTTGGGTGGTCACTAAAGGTACTGAGAATTTTCAGAAATTTGTTTTATATGGTTGAAATTGTTTCGAGTCTTTATGGATGTTGGTTCCTGAGTTTTAAAATTTTATAAATTGAGGGAGGTCTAGGGGATGGCTTCAATTTAATTTGGGGATTTTTGAAGATGTATTTGTAATTTTAGAAATTGTTCAAACATTTGTTTTAATTAAATAAAAATAATTCCGAGGAGTTTATAAGGGTTTGAAAATTTTCCAGGGTATAAGTACTCGTGATTGATGTGGGAAAATTATTATCCGAATTTTTAAGAAGGTACAAGTTAGGTGAAAATTTGTCCAAGACTAAAATAATTAGGAAAAGTGGTCGGTGTTGAAGGGATTGTTTTTAGAAATTTTTTAAAGGGGGTTAAGGGACCTTGGGAGTGAGTCTCGAGGGCTGGATGTTGAGGAGAGGATGTTCTAGTGACCCAAAAGGGAATTCTAAATCGAGAAAGGTCGACTAAGGAGATGACATTCTTATTAATAAGTTCGCCGAGATAATTCGGCTAGGAGGGATTTCTTCGAGTAAAGAATCGAGGAGTCATCTTTACAAGGTGAGTGTAAAGGGGGTAAATTCTACACCTTACGTGTTCTTTCAAGAATTTCAAGCTTTACGTATCTTGATGAAGTGATTGTCGTTGTTTGATTGTGCTTGTGGCTGATGATATGTGATTTTGTTTGAGCTATGTTTGATGTGAATGTGCATGAGTTCTTATTTAAGTTAAAGCTTTCCGTTTATAAGCTATTGTTAAAGTTAAGAAACAAGTTCTTTTTAAAGAAGTAACTCACCTTCAAGAAGGCGAAGTCGTCTAAGTGTTTTTAGTCACTAGCGCCAGTCCGTTGCCTTTTGAAACATTTTGAGATAGAGCAGCAATTATGCTCTTGAGACTTTTAAGATGGGCAGCAGTTATGCCCTTGAGAATCGTGGTGAAGAGCCACCACGATAAGTTTAAGATGTTAGGGGGATGAATCGTTACGACTCCCCTAACTAAGTTTAAGTTTAAGGAAAGCCTGGATGGCTTCTCATATGTATGAGTTGGGCAACCAGACTAGCTAGTGAGGGATCCCCGTGTCAGTCAAAAGATTTAAGTCAAGTTTTGAGCTTTAAGAAGGGAGAGTAACTTTAACTCCTGAAGAATTTTATGAGTTAAGATTGTTAATAATGGAGGTACAAAACGACTTCTACTAGTAACAGTTATGTGTTTAGAGAAGAATACTAAAGTACTATATATTTTAACGTAAGGGCGTAGACTGACCCCAACTCACTCACCAGATCGTAGAGGAGGAAATCCTAACCAGCCAGTCCGTGATCAGCAAGCTAGAGGAGCTCCACACCATCGTCGCTGAGAGATGTCGAGCCAGGCGTTAGAGTAAGCATAAGAAAACTTTTTCAAGTTATTAAGACTTTATGGTTAAGAGTTAAAGATTGGAGATTCATTTCTTTTGGACAATTT